TTGGCACTGCCAACCAAGCCATTAAAAATCCGGTCAGTGGGTGCAGGGGGGCCTGGGGCTAAGGCAGGCTCCGTGCCTGCCTTAGCTCCATGCGGATTCCAGAAGTGGCTGCCAGGTCCCTGCAGCCCCTAAACGCATGGGAACCGTGACCAATGGGAGCTGCGCAGGTGGCGCCTTCAGGCACGAGGGCAGCACGTGGCTCCTCCCTGGCCGCCCATGTGTCTAGGGGCTGCAGGGACCTGGCGGCAACTTCCTGGGAGCCGCGAGACACTGAACTCTCTTCCGTACCCCAACCCCCTGCTCCAGCCCAGAGTCCCCTCCCACACCCAAACTCCCTCCCGGAGCCCGCACCTCCCCCAACACCCCAACTGCCTGCCTCAACCCCCTCCTGCACCCCAAACCCCTCATCCCTGGCCCCACCCCAGAGCCCTAAGCCGGAGGCTGCACCCCTTCTCCTGCACTCCAACCCACTGTTTCAGCCCAGAGCCCCTTCCTTCATCCCCCCAGCTGGAGTCCTCACCCATGCCCCAGCCCAGAGCCCTCTCCCACACCCTGAACCCCTCATTTCTGGCCCCACCTAGAGCCCGTACCCCCTGCCCAGAGACCTCACCCCCCTCCTGCATCCCAACCTCCTGCCCCAGCCCAGTGAAAGTGAGTGAGGGTTGGGGAGAGCAAGTGATGGAGGAAGGGGGAATGGAGCGAGTGGGGACAGGGCCTCAGGGAAGGGGTGGGGCAGGTGTGTTCTGTTTTGTGTGATTAAAAATTCGGCAACCCTAATCAGCAGTACCCTGCTTTTCCAAGTTTGAGTCTCTCATGGAGCAGAACTCACTAGCTTTGTACAGTGGTTTTCTTTTAATAGAATAATTAATTATTGAAAATGTGTGCACAACTCCTAATAGAGGAAAAGGGCAGAAACCAATATTATAGATTTTTGGGAAGTGTGGGTTTTTGGTTTTGGTTTTTTTGGCAAGGTAAATATTTTTCTGCTGATTCAGCTTGTATGTATGAAGGACAACAGAAAAAATACACAGTGTTGCCAGTTCATGCTGTCTGGTTATGCAATTCTGAACACTTCGTGCTAATCAGTGTTGTTTGTAAGGAGGTAAACATGAAGTAAAATAATATCAAGTTCTGGACTGCTGTTTACCAGCACAGTGAACTTCTAATCACATTATTCTGTCACAGGGGTAGGCAACCTATGGCGTGCATGCCAAAGGCAGCATGCGAGCTGATTTTCAGTGGCACTCACGCTGCCCGGGTCCTGGCCACCAGTCCGGGGGGCCTCTGCATTTTAATTTAATTTTAAATGAAGCTTCTTAAACATTTTAAAAACCTTATTTACTTTAAATACAACAATAGTTTAGTTATATATTATAGAAAAAAGACCTTCTAAAAATGTTAAAATGTATTACTGGCATGCAAAACCTTAAATTAGAGTGAATACATGAAGACTCGGCACACCACTTCTGAAAGGTTGCCGACCCCTGCTCTATCAATTACCAATAGCTTATATTCTTGCATACCAAGAACTTTAAAAAAACACCCCTCAGAAAACTCTCTACATATTATTAGCCTAGACTAAGAACTAATTTATATACTTAATTAAAACGCTTAACAGGCAAAACTGGGTTGTTTGTGTATTGTTTGGTTAAGGAATGATTATTTACCATCTTCTATACAGTGTTCAAGATAGATGGGGCTCTAGCCTGGTTGAGGTCTTAAGCCACTACTAAATAAATCATTATAGGGTATATGAAGAGTGGAGATGTACATGACTGGTAATCAGTATATCTCTCCATCTCTTCCTATCTGTTGTACAAGTAGAGCTGATACACATTGGGTCTTTTCAACCAGTTTCCTTCTTGACAATTTATTTAAGACACCCTTCAAATAGCCTACAACTTTATGCAAGGAGAGCGGGGAAAAATATGCTGCAAAAATACACTTTTTTAAAAAAGACAAGAGGAACTTGAAAGTAGAGGAATGGGTAAGAGGTCAGTAGTCACAGTAAATATCCATCCTTAGCTTGCCACAGGATAACAGCAGAAGAGGATTAGATTTCAGTTTGACTCTTAGTCTGCAATTCAAGACCTTGGAAAAACTGGTTAGACCAGGAAGAGCCTTGCATAGAAGTGAGAAGTTGGAAAGCTGATACTTTGTTCTACTTTATTAGTTATTAGAACTAGTAACTATTTATTTCTAGCTATGTTACTTGGGCTCTTGAAAAAAGGGGTAACTAGAGAGATCTAGTCGCTTCAGGCATAATGTTACTTTGCTATGGAGAAAATGTTTGATGTTTTTGAAAATGTGTTGATGATTAGAGTTGTCTTGCTGGTCTGAGAGCACTAATAACAAAATAAAAAAAAGTAGTAATAGTTCTGTAAGGCCCTATCCTTGCTACTGTTAGGATTTAAAGCTGGCTATCCTCGTTTTTCTTCAGTTATTTGTGAAATTAGGCCCCGACTTCCATTGAAACTCTTAGGCTTCTAAACTGAGATTTTCAAAGTAGCCTAACTTCCAAGCTTTTATTTTTTTGAAAATCTTAACCAAAGGTTTAAGTTACTTGGTTAAGATCACCAATCAAATTAATGACACAGTCAGTGGAGAACTCTCAACTCCTGGAGTAACCAGAAGCACTTCCATTCCTGTTTACCTCTTCACAGTATCAGAAATAAAGTGAGGGAAGTGGTGGTACTCGGTGAAATCAATGGCTCCTTTGCACAGCAGAGCTTTTCTCTTAGTGGCAAGTAAAGTCCAGATTTTCAAGCAGGTGAATTTTATTATAGTGAATTCTTTTATTCTAAGAGGATAATATCTGATCAGATTTGGAAATCAGAACTACTGCACCATCAACTTAATTCTCTAAAGGAAATCATGAAACTATGGATAATTCAATTTTCTCCAGCAGGATCTAACCTCAAAAGTCAGCACTTTTTAGCTAAGTAACTCTTCTTTAGAACTCCTTCATATCACTTCTGCGCATAGCTCTTTTGTATCATTCAACAGTTCCAGAGTATAATGCTGCCCAAATCTGTTTTGCCTCCATCTGAACAACAGTATTTATGTTCCTGACAACAGACATGATCTCTATTGTTTTGGCAATGACCGACCTCCATTATTTCCACTCTCAAAAAGCATGTCTCTTATGGGCAATCAGAAAGAGAGAGACATCCATTGCATCATTATTTGGTGCTCTTTGTTGCCATGTAGGCATTGAGGTTCCAGCATTTCTCAGAGTTATGTCAAGGGCAACTAAAAGTTAGACATGGCTTTGAGCATATTGAACTTGTGTAGGACATGCCCTAAAAGGAATGGTAATGTATTTAGGGTGTCACCCATTTTCAGATCCTATATTTTCTTTTGTAGCTGCATAGGGTACTTTTAACTGCATATGTGCTAGCAAGTGTGACAAATAAGAAGATATGTGCCTATTAGATAAAATGGAATTGGTTCTGTTGCTTGAACAACAAGTAATGAAATTGTACCTGACACAACACGAAAGGAATGAATAAGCAGACATGTTATAAACAAACATAATTGGAGGAAGTGAGTTAGGTACCAAACCTGAACCAGACTTCTGTAAACCTTCGCATAGAGAAACAGTGGAAAATTGCTTTCAGATGAGTATTGTATTGCATATAGAATGGAAATGTACAGGAGCCAGGAATCGTCTTGCAGGTGTACAGGAAATGTTAACATCATATTTGTGGTTAATATGTGATTAGATAAGGTAAGTATGGAAACAACTGCGAAATGTAATAGGCAAATAAAATATTTGCAAAGAAGTGGGATATAAAACAGAGTTGTAATCAGTTTGGAACAGAAATTGTCCCTGGAAGGGTGAGTTCTATTAACCTTTGCCTTTCTCTATTTATGTTGATCTATCTTCACTTAATAAAAAACGATTGGGCTGAATTATCTGACATCTCATTGATCAATAATCTAATCAATATCTTACAAGGAGAAACCTTTATGTCTTTGAAAATGTGCTGTGGATGTGCCAATGGTTACATGCTATGGCACAATGATCTTATGATGGCACAATGATCAGTCCAGTGGAATTATTAATAAAAGTTTGTGGCCAATAAAATGGCTTAATACCCTTTTGTTTGGGAATTCCTCTTATGAGATGTGTAAGTCTCTACTTAGTTCAACATGCCCCTGTATGAGCCTGACACAGTATCAAGTTAAATAACACAAGGAGGATTCAGTTTAGAATCCCATTTCTATTTATTTTGTGTAGTAAAATATCCTATTGCCAGTATTTTCTATCTACCACGCGGCACTGAATGGTGATTACATGCTATTAACAAATGGATTGGGTTCTAAATTCACTGTAATAACTCAGGGCAGAGAGCAACCTAGGTATGATTGTGGATCACTCAGTGGAAGCTTATGTTCAAGTTACATTGGCAAAGGTTCCTCTCTTCTCCCTTCCAAAAAAAAAGCTTATTGCCTGATATTTCATCTAACTAATGAAATAGTTAGGCAACTATTTTAGGCTTTGTTGCTTCTTCCTCTGAAACATCTGATACTGGCCTGCGATTGTCGGAAATAATTCTGGTCTACTGGTGTGATCCAGTCTGGCAATCTCCTTGCTCCTAAAATTCATTTGTTGAAAGTAAAAATAAAATAAGGAAGCATTGGAATGATGGAAGTTCTAACACAGTGGTTCTCAAACTTTTGTACTGGTGATCCTTTTCACATAGCAAGCCTCTGAGTGTGACTTCCCCCTTAATAAATTAAAACCACTTTCATATATTTAACACCATTATAAACACTGGAGGCAAAACAGGGTTTGGGGTGGTGGCTGACAGCTTGCGACCCCCCCACATGTAATGACCTTGTGACCCCCTGTGGGGTCCCGATCCCCAGTTTGAGTACTGCTCTAACATGTTAATTCTGTGACTTGGACCCATCTGTCCAAGACACTTGAGACTGGATTTTGCTTCCCATTTCTATTGATATTCCTCTGACAAGAATGCTTCTCTTATCCCCAGTTATTGAAGAACTATCACAAGTGGAGAGCTGAATGCCCAGAATTAAGTGCAAATTTACAGCCTTGCTCTATTCTCAATCTCCTGCATGCTGGTTACCATGGAGTCCTGAGATCAAGGGACCCACGTGGCAGCAAAGTTCTTATTTATAGAATTGGTAAGTAACAATTCTATGGCCTAGACATTGCCTACACATTGTTTTGTGTACTGGTATAACTCTCTTGGTTATGGGTTTGATTTTTCTATCAAAATAATTAAACAGTACAATCCCTTAAACTGGTATAGCTTATTTCCCTCCCTGTGGAGATAGGTGTGCTAGTAAAGCACCACCTTCATACTATATAACTGTATATTGTAGAGAAGTACTCAGATGGGAGAACTCCTGAAGCACTTGATTAAGTGAAAACTCTAGTGATAGCCAGAAACCTCTTTAATTTTTCACTATTTACCTATGAATATCTATCTCATTTAACATACCTGGATAAAGTAGTGTTCATTTGCTGTTGAGAGAGAGAGAGAGTGTGTGTGTGTGTGTAATAGCTATCTGCCGTGTTAATTATTATATTTAGCACCCCACCATAATTAGTTATTTCTATTACAGTGGTTCCTAGAAAACCCCGACAAGAATCAGGGCCAGACTGTGCTAGAGACAAGTAACACAAACCTTGTCTTCACTAGGAAAAAAGGTGCATTTTTAATGTGTTAGCTAAAATATGTTCAAATCTTAGTGTAGACAAGGCAGTTTCTCATTTTTAACACATATTGGTTGAGGTGAATCCTAGGAGTATCCCTCCTAGATATTGTACTGTGGAGCTTTGGCCAGTGACTTTACAATTTAATTACTACTGTCACTGCCAAACCTAGAGGATTCTTGAAGCAAACATTGCAAGATTCTTTTCTGAAAACTTCCCGGCAGGTTCCTACTGATAGTAGAAATGAATTGCAGAGAGTGGAGTGATTGTGCAGGGTAGAAGAGGAGCCAGAGGGGTGTAGAGTAAATAGTTTCTGTACTGACAAAATTACTTATTGCAGAACAGGAGAGGGCTTGTAGGAGGAAAAGAAAATGACTTCACACTCCATATTGCTGTTTACTCATTTTGTATTTGAGGAGTGCATTAGAAACAATAGCCAGTGGGAGTATATGTATACAGAATATCTGTGTGGTAATACAGTACAGTCTATTTGTTCTTCAGGACGATGGGATCCAAAGATGTTTACAGCATATGATGTGTTTCGTGTAAGCCTTATCACATCAGAGCTCATTGTAAAAGAGAGAGAGACACAACGGAATGGAGTCAAGGCTATCTTTGATCTTCAAGGGTGGCTATTTGCTCATGCATTTCAAATCAGCCCAACAGTGGCCAAGAGGATTGCTGCCGTGCTCACAGTAGGTTTGATGCTTAATTTTAGTTTCTTTATTGCAATAGTCAAAATGTTTCTACTGTAAATTATGGCACACTTTCCTTTTGTGTAGGACCTTGTCATGGTAACACCGCTTGAAAGAACAAAATAGTGCTATTTAGAGCTATTAGAAGTGAGACACACTTAAATGATTTAAATCTAAACTTTATTTGATTTGCCTTCAAATTGTTATAATCAAGTAGTGAATATCCTCCAGATTCTAGTTACATATTTAAAAAGTCAGTAAACTTCCATAAGAACTCAATAAAAATAATAAAGCCAATAGCTCATCTCTGTAATATTAGCCAACTAGATAGTGGCTGGCTTCAGACTAGCAAGGGTTTGGGTTTGAGGCTTAATCAGAGTTAGGTCATTGATCTTTTGGTGCAGCAATCTCAGCTTCTCTGATAATATTTCTACCTGAGAATTTCATGAAACCAAGCCTCACAGAGCATCTACCGTCTTAAATGTGGGAATTCTTACATGGTTGGTTACTCTTACGATGATTCTACCATCTTGGGAAAAATCTCACTAGAATGGCTGTTCTTGTGAAATATTTCAGCTGTACCTGAACCAGTAAACAGGTCCCTGGTATCTTTAGAATTTGTTTTGGGGGTGGGGAAAGAGGGTGCCTGGTTAAATTTAGGGATTTGGATCTAGTACTCCCATGCCAGAAATTCTTTGGATGTGAGGTGTCTACTTTCGTATTTACCCTTTGTTTTTCAAACATTTAAAAGTACTACAAATAAGGCAGCAGAGAAAATAAATCAAAACTATAAATTGTGAGTAGTGCTTCTTAAAATTTATAAACTTATTTATTGCAATTCTTTATCTATTCCTCTCATCATTTTCTAAGTTGGGTTGACATTTTTCACACACAGGTTTCTTCTGCTTTTGCTTGGCAGTTCAGGCAATTCAGGTCCCTTTCTGTCACTGTGACATTTTAAAGTAACACGTTATGGGCCAAGATTTAAAAAAGTTAATTTCCTAAATCCATATTTAGGAACATTTAGATTTAGGATCCTAACTTTCAGCTCCTATTTTTTTTTAAACTTTACTGTTATAGCTCTTGTAAAAATATGATCTTGCACTGCATGAACAAATATGAAGACATATAGAGAGAGAGAGGTTAATTGCAATGTAGAAAGGGAAAAATAGCATCAAAATAATAGTATTGCCTCTTTTTGACCCAAGTAGTTAGTCCAATTTCAGGGTGCTGGGAATGTTCCAGTTGGAAGCAAAAATTGATAAAAGTCTGGTATTCTCTTTGTTGCCATCTTGTTTATTTACAAGGAATGTACAAAGTCCTGCTTCTCTGGACACAGAAAGAACTAAGAAGACAAGCGGTTTCTTAGCTTCCAGTCCCAAGCCTCATTAGCTAGCAAGAGCATTTAATTGTTATGGACTATAGCCTAATCTGAACTGTGCAGTGCCCATAGCTGTGGATCTTGAAAAAATCTGTTACCACAGATATGGGTAAAAGCAGATTTTGGTGAGATTACATAGCAGTGCTCATTGCATACATTTTACAAGATTAGAATCTGATGCTTAAGTTTTTATCCCACTGTTTCAAAAAGTTCCTAAAAACAGTTACCTTTAGCAAGCTATTTTTTAATTCAGATCAGAGCCCATCAATCTGGCCCTATCCAACATGATAAGAAAAGAGAGGCTAGTGTGATATTCATGGAAAAAACATTTATGATCAGTATCTCCAGTTCACCTCTGGAAGAAGTAGAAAAATTGTAGTCAGCAGAGCTGTAGCAATGAAATGGAGTATGAATGGAGGCTCTTCTCCCTCTAGTGCAGGGGTTCTTAAACTCTGTGGTGATTTTGTTGATATGTTTGCAGGATTCCTTTCCACTAAAAGTTCGTGGCATCCACTTGATTAATGAACCGTTATTCTTCCACCCGGTCTTCGCTCTAATTAAGCCCTTTCTCACTGACAAAATAAAGGAACGGGTGAGTGAACATAAATACATATTTCTTTTTTTCTACAATAACAACTTCCATTTGGATCTGGGTTCTGCAGTGCCTGAGCACTGAGTAGGATAAATCAGTTTTATACTTTCCACTTCTGTAGAACTTTCACTAGCGGAATCTTTAAGCACTGTACAAATATTAAATATTTCAGAATTACAACACACTGGTGAGGTTGGTCTTGCCGACATTTTTACAGATAAGGAACACTGGAGTGCCAAGAGGTTAAATCAGTTGCCCAGTGTCATACACCAAGTGTGCAGTAGAGCTGAGCATAAAACCCAGATCTCCTGAATTTTGCTTCAAGCGATAATTATTACTCAGTGGGCACTGACACTGCTCCTCTCCAAACATAACGGAATACACTGGTCTTGCTCCAAAGAGCCTATACTGTAACCCGAACACAGACTCATGGGTCAGGCTAAAGGTTCAAATTTCAACTGACGCAAAGTTGTTTTTTAAAATAGCTTTTGCGTGACATTAAATGAATTCATAGTTGATGTTTACTTAACCTAAAATCCCTGTTGTATTTGGGTGTAGTGGCACATCAAGCATTCCAGCAGGATTGCTCTTGCATGGCAAGCTGTGTGGCAATTATTCCAGGCAAAGTAGGTAGGAGTGACTCTGGTTAACGGCAGCACTAAGCTGAGGAAGAGGAGAAAAGAGTGAATGAGAGAATAGAGAAAACTTCAAAACTGATGAAGTGGAACAAAAGCAGCCTGAGGTCAATAGTTAGGGCTAGACCAGGCCAGGGGGTCTGGGAAGCGACTAGCTCAGGTGTGGGAAAACTACGGCCCACAGGCCGTTAAGCTGGCTCCTGAGCCACATCATGCTGCTCAGCCCTGCTCCAGCTGGGGCGCTGGGACGGAGCTGCACAATGTGGCTTGGCCCTACTCCGACTGGGGTGCTGGGTCAGGGGCTGCACCATGTAGCTCCCAGAAGCCGTGGCAAGGCACTGCTCTGACTCCTATGTCCTCCAATGGGAGCTGCAGGGGCGGTGCCTATGGATGGGGCAGCAAGCAGAGCCACCTGGCCACGCCTTTGCATAGGAGCTGGAGAAGGGACATGCCACTGCTTCCGGGAGCCACTTGAGGTAAATGCTGCTTGGAGCCTGCACCCCCTGAGCCTCTCCCCAAACCCTGCCCCAGCCCTGATCCCCCTCCTGCTCTCCAAACCCCTCGATCCCAGTCCAGAGCACCCTCCTGCACCCCAAACCTCTCATCCCCAGCCCCACCCAAGAGCCTGCACCCCCAGCCGGAACCTGCACCCCTCCCCGCACCCCTGCCCCAGCCCTGATCCCCCTCCCACCCTCCGAACCCCTTGGTCCCAGTCCAGAGCACCCTCCTACACCCCAAACTCCTCATCCTCAGCCCCACCCCAGAACCCATACCCCCTTCCACACCCCAACCCCAATTTTGTGAGCATTCATAGCCTGCCATACAATCTCTATTCCCCGATGTGGCCCTTGGACCAAAAAGTTTGCCCACCCCTGGACTGGCTTCCTGTTAGCTTCAGAAGGAGGCGTTGCTTTCTCACTCTGTCTCTCAGATCTTGCTCAAGAAGCCCTGAGCACAAACACACTTAATTGAATGTTCATTTTATTGTGCTTTGATACAATAAGTCTTTGTGTCATACACATTTGCAGAAAAGCCTGTTTAAATGTTAAGAACTAGAGACTGGAAATGAAACAAGCATTTGGCGGGAAGTAGTGCATGAGACTTCAAAACAGCACTGAAGAAACAACAACAAAGCGGTTCTACTGATATTCTTCAAAGTACAGGCTCTGCATCTGATGTTTCTAACCCCAGAAAAAGCCTTTGAGGTGGTTGAAATAATTACCCCCATTTAGAAATGTTTTATCTTAAGTGTTGTAAACTAGAAATAAATGTTAATATCATAGAATTATAGAAATGCAGGGGTGGAGGGGACCTCAAGAAGTCATCAAGTCCAGTCCCCTGTCAAGTCCTTACACAGGAGTAAGTAAACCTAGACAATCTCTGACAGGTGTTTGCCCAACCTGTTATTAAAAACCTCAAATAATAGGGATTCCTCAATCTCCCTTAGAAGCCTATTCCAGAGTGCAGCTACCCTTATAGCTAAAGTTTTCTCTAACATCTAACCTAAATTTCCCTTGCTGTGGATTAAGCCCATTACTTTTTCTCCTACCTTCAGTGGACAAGGAGAACAATTGATCACAGTCCTTTTTATAACAGCCCTTAACATACTGAATGGGAAGTGAGAGGGGACAGTACCTTGCATGATCACACCCTTAGGGCTGGTCTAAGCACAGCATAGATGGGGTATGCATTGTATACCCCTACCTGAAATAGTTAAATCGTGTAAACTAGGCCTTGGTTTCTACATTTGCAGCAGCATGAAACACAAGTTGCATTTCATCCTGAACTAAGCAGCGAATAGCTGTGAGTTTGGGAGCTTTAGGAGAGTATAGTGAAGTTTATTTGCACAGTGTGGCAGTGAACGTACATTAAAAGAAGTGAGGATACAGTGGATTAGTGAAATCTAGCTTGTGCTTCAGTTCCCACACCTGAGGTTCTTGCCTTTCCAATGTCTTCACTAACCGCTGTGGGATTCAGATGGAAGTAAATGTATGTGTGTATTATGAAAACTGGAAAGCCATTTTTAAACAGCTTTTCTTGTTTCAGGTGTATATGCATGGGAGTAATTACATACAGAGTCTGACGCAACATTTCCCAGCTAGCATTCTCCCACAGGAGTATGGTGGGGAGGATGTCTCCATTGAAGACCTTTCCCAAGAGTGGACTGACTTCATAATGGAATCTGCAGATTACCTTCAGAGTATTTCTCTGGTTTTTCCAGTGAAGCAACCATATTAAAAAGTAACCTCTTGGTACTGAGGCAATTCATTAAAACAGAGAGCTGCAGTTAATTCCTAGTATTATGATTGCAAGCCAGAATGAACTTCAATCAGAAATTTTTTATTTAGATTTGTCATTACTTTAAAGGGACCTGTGTAAAACTCCTGGTAGATCATTGCTGAGGGAAGAAATGCCCCATTTGCTGCATTTTTATATTTGTACTGATATCCTCTCCAAGCAATTACATCTCAATTAGAGTTGCATCTCAGAACTAAAGGAGAGATTCATGAGTTTGATATTTAGAAGGATAATATGCAATACTGTTTGTAACAGATTATATATGTGCTCAAAGGCTGGATAGTGCTACATGTAGGATACTGCAGAGAACAATATTCCTCTAGATATGTTCTCATGGAACTCCGGTCTGTGAGGATTCAGTACAAACCATATGCTCAGCTCTTGCACTGTAGCTGCTCAAGTTGATGCACTGACATAAAGAGCCAAATGATTTCAAGAGCTGCAGGGCAAGTCTGCTTTGGAGTTACAGTCGTTTGGCTTGGAAGCACATTTGTACAAAGTAGTGATTTTTCTTAGGCCTAATGTTAGCAGGGAATGGGGCTGGTCTTTGGATTGATTCTCAGGGAAGTGGATTTCCAGTCAATTCGCATAGCTGAGCTTGCACTTTGGATGAAAACTGATCAGCAGTGGTGGAACATTGCTGTGCCAGCGGCTGCTGTGAGCAGCACATATCCATGCAGGCATTTAAGTTAGTAAGCATCTAACATTGTAAAGGGATAATCAACTTGGAAACTATTAAAAGATCACGTGAATCACAAAGAGGAGGGGGGCAAATGGATTAACTTAACTTTGAAAAATAATTTTTCTTCCCCGGCAACAAATGTTCTGTTTAGATAAGTTACAAGGCAGCTCCTGTGAAGTGCCAGACACCCTTAACTCCTACTGTGAAGTCCTGTAGAAGTAAAGGGTGCTTAGCAACGCCCAGGACTGGGCTGTTTGAGGGGAAGAAAGTAGGTCTCGCTTCATGGATTTGACCATAGAAATAAACGTGTCATGTGGTTTCAGTATTCTCACTGAATACTGTTGCTGTTAGATGCCAAGCACCTTCCTTTTTATTCCAAGAGATGCTAAGGGTATTCAACATCTCCTGTGCCTGGGCATTTTGCTTAGCACTGGCAGAAATTTTTTACTTAAATGTATTTGATACTGACCCCAATGCCTCTTCAGCTATTACAGGCAATTGAAAACTTTCCCACTGTGTTTACTAAAAGCGGTTCTTAAAGGGACGCAACCAGATCCAAATTACATCTTTTAACAAAACGAGATATTTTCTTACCTGTGTTACACAGCAATAACATAGATTATTTAAACTGAAAGGATTTAAACAATGAATGTACTTTGATTTTGTTTGTTTTTTAGCAAACTAACTTCCTAGCTCTTATTTCTTATGGTTTTTTGACAAGGCAGAAATTGTTTGACAGATGTATTAAACAGCTCTTAATGATTCCTTATGGACCCTAATGTTAAAAGCATTTATAAGGACAATGTCTTTTGTAAAGTTGACTCAAATGTTTATTTTGCTTCTCTTGGAATCATCAGTAGATTTGATATTTGTACAAACTTGCTATTTAAAATGAAGAGGAAGGAGAAACTAAGAGTGCCATATTAACATATCAGTAAAGTCTTCTGTAAGATTAGATGATCAATAGTACTGCTCAGGCCGTTTCATCAACATCAAGAGCGCTCTTAAAAGGTAGTTGTGTTGTCGTCCATGCCAATGAACAGACGCATTTTAAAATTACAAAGCCAACATGGAAATAAGAAACTTTGTTTCCTCACCCCCACATGTACAATTTTTCTTGTTGTCCTGGACACCTTTGGTCTGTAGTCTCAGTTTTAAAATATTTTAACCTTCAAATTGTGATCAAAAGAATTTTTTATATACTTTCTTGTCAGAGATTCAGCTTAGAGCATGATACAATAATATCCTCAGAGAAAGGAACTTTTGGAAGATATTTCTTCTTGTTTAAAGGGAAATAGAATAATTACCATAGTTGGCACCTTGTACAATGCACAGCTACACTGAGCTACACAACTCAGATTCTAAACTACTGGGGAAAAATGTTTTTCTAGTGAGAATTGGAAGCTGATGCTCTTTCGTATACTGCTTTTAGTTCCTTGGAAAGAAACTCCATCAAGAAATTGTTTGAATTAATTGAAAGTTCAGTGCTTTCCTATGAACACAAAAGTTTGTATTGTAGATATTTTACCTGGCAGAGACCAAACCTATTCTCAATTATATATATGCAGCCCTCTTTACTTCATCTGGGTCGCATGCTTGTAAGCGAAGAGGTGTGGGGCTTTGGTTTTGTTTAACACTAGAGTGCTGAACTAAAATTGTAACCATTCAGTTAAAAAAAACCCACCCCAAACCCATGTTAAATGGTGTTGCGAACGCATTACAGATATTGGCACCTCTGCTGCGGTGTGGCTGTGATTTACTTTCTTCATGGGTCTCTTATTTGGCTTTTAATGGTTACGCCTATTGTATCACAACAGAGTGAACTGTACGTAGGAGTCGTTTGATTTGGGTCTTACCTCAACAGTGAGTTTTGTCAGGTGGGTGGAAGGGCTATTATTTTACACCCACAGAAGGAAGAGGAGGCACTTTGAATTGCAAAGGACACATATCTTATTGCACAGTGATTGCAGCAGGAGAACCTCTTTAAAGTACTAACTTTCTATAAAATGCTGATGCAAATATAGTTTGCTACTGACTGTCAGCACACTGTAATGTAAATTGTTTTTATAATTTTGTACATGTTAGAATACCTTTATATTAAAAAAGAAGTAAACTTAATATAACATTCTAGGTGGATCATGCAGTCTTGTTGGTCTGTCTCTCTCAACTTTTTATTAACTAAAATTTACAATTAAAGATTAACGTACTATGTCAAACATTGTTTATTATTTAATCAGGATCAGGTTAATATTCAAAGTACCTGGCTAAAGATTCTGGCTTGCTGGCTGGAGAGTCATCCTGCTCCTCTGAGTATGCCAAAGTGGGTGACCAAAATTCGGAATCTTCTTTTTGACGCTTCTCTTATGTACATACTTTGTGTGAAAGCTTTTGCATTCCGTATTTTGCAATACCACATTTCCAGAGAAGTCACACTTTTCCCAGTAATGTTCAATACAAAGTCTTGCTGCTAACAGTAAAAAAAGGAAATTAATTTGTTGCTCTCTTTGAAATGTAGAGACTCTCCTGGAGCATTAAGGAAGCAAGTCAGCTCTGGGAAGCTGGCGCTTTGCGATAAGATGAATCTCTTTAATAATTTCCTCCCAAAACCATCTACCTGGACACAACTACTACATGTGCAAGTATGTTCATGTTTTCCCACAACCCCTCCACTTATTTGTCTGTTTTTAAATGCTCAGGAATTATGGAATAGTGTAAGCATTCCTTTCCCAAGTAGCCTCTCTTTCTAGCTACTGCTTGCAATGTTAACAACAAAAGTAAGTTGTCAATACAGCTTCTAGCAAAATGCATATAGAAAACTGAAAAGTCTTCTCCAACTACTGTAATATATTAACTGAGGAATAAAGCTGTCTTTTCAGTTATGGTCCATTCAACTGCCCCTTCAAATGGCATCAAGAAAACAGAGATAACTTCTGCACCCCAAGTAAAGTCATTCAGGTCCCTTAGAAATAAGGTTTGTCTTTCATTGTTTTGTATTTAAAACAAGGTGCTCTGACAGACAGCCACTCAAAGTCCCTTCTTCACTCATGACAACCTGTGGCAGGCCAGGCCCTGTTGACTCCATCTGCAAACTGTTTAATGTTGTTTCTGGACTCCCCACCTGACTGTTGCTCAGACCAGGAGTCTGCCTTCATTAGAGCTCTAGGATGGGATTTTCAAAAGTGCCCTAGATATTGCTCTACAAGGGACTTCTCTCTACCTGGCCACTCCACGGACACATGCACATCAGCTCCCTAACTCCAGTTAGTGGCAAGGTACACTAATTTCTGCAGGCATATAGACTATCCCCTTCCCTCAAGGGAAGATTGTCTAATATAATTTTAGGGCCTTCAGTCCTGTTCATCTCTCCACTTCCCATGTGGGAAATTCCAGCTGTTCAGCTGTACTCTTTCAGATCACTTCATTCCTAAAGCAACTTATCCATTGGGTTGGACAGTCTCACCTAAACCCACAGCTAGCAAGCATAGAAGAGCTACTGTAGTCTGACTCTGCAGCCCTGTGCGAAAACCTCCCAGATTCTCAGCTACCAATGCCAAGCTGTCCACAGGGTGTCCAGAATAGGTTATTCAGGTTGGTTTTGGCACAACAAGAGGAGGCACCTACAGTTCTGCCTTTAAACTCCTGCTTGTCTCTCTACTGAAGCTTCATGCGAAGAAGCTCATAGCAGCAAGTGTAGTGGGGATCCATATCTTGGATTAACTCCATACTCCAAATTTAGAGGAGCTTGTGTACAATTCCTTATGAACAGGCTAGTAATCCACCACCAAAAGATTGACTTCAAACATGGAAAAAGAGATGGAATTGTAATGTTGCACCCCATAATGCTTTATAGAAATGCTTATGAATGTAAATGACATAACTGGAATATGTTTTATGCTACATGTGCCATGTAACATATCTCTGCAAAGGTTATGATCTACTGAATATATTCATCCTATTTGTATGCATGTATCATTTTTGTATTTGAAGTTATGAATATTGGCTGTATACTTGTTTAATTTTAAGTAGCCTCAGTGAAGCATTTGGTCAGTTTCTTGAGAAAAGATTATTCTCAGTAAGCGCCCAATCAAGAAACACTTAATCTGACAATAGACTTTGATAGACGCCAGTCCACATCTGAGCTTTCCTGGGAACATACCTGTAGAGAACTAAGTCATGCATGGACACGTGACTTGCCCAGTTGACTCTAAAACTCCATCTTGTAGAGGGGACTCTGCACGGGGGAGGGAGGGGTTTCCACCCACAAGAGAAAAACTATATAAAGTCCTGGGAGACCCCTCCATTTTGTCTTCAGCTGGCTCAAGGTAACCTCTCCACCCCAAAAGGATACCTGAAAGCAACTGGAACAAAGGATAGTAACCACAGGAGTGTGAGTGATTGCCAGACCCAGACTAGAAGGCGGCTAGTCTGTAAAAGAAGCTTATTGGAACATCTCTGAGAGTGAGATTTCATCTGTAATCACTTTCTTACTGTATTAGGCTTAGACTTGCATGTTTTATTTTATTTTGCTTGGTAATTCACTTTGTTCTGTCTGTTATTACTTGGAACCACTTAAATCCTACTTTTTGTATTTAATAAAATCACTTTTTACTTATTAATTAACCCAGAGTATGTATTAACAGCTGGGGGAGGGCAAACAACTGTGCATATCACTCTATCAGTGTTATAGAGGGCAAACAATTAATTTACCTTATAAGCTTTATACAGGGTAAAACAGATTTATTTGGGGTTTGGACCCCATTGGGAGCTGGGTACCTAAGTGGTGGAGACAGGAACACTTCTTAAGCTGTTTTCAGTTAAGCCTGCAGCTTGTGGGGTACGTGGCTCAGAGCTGGGTCTGTGTTTGTAGAAGGCTAGTGTGTCTGGCACAACCAGGCAGGGCACTGAAGTCCCAAGCTGCCAGGGAAAATGGGCTTAGAGGTAGTCTCAGCACATCAGTTGGCAATTCCCAAGGGGGTTTCTGTGATCCAACCCATCCCAGGAATATTAATGTTCACTGTCTAGGGAAAGGTCACTGACATTGTTATAGGTGAAAATCATTAAAAGAAGTCAAGCAAGAAACACAGACTTAGTCTTTTATCTGGAAAGTGCTGAGAAATGTTCATCCTAATGCAAGGGTGGGCAAACTTTTTGGCCTGAGGGCCACAGCTGGGTATGGAAATTGTATGGCAGGTCATGAATGCTCACAAAATTGGGGTTTGGGAGAGGATGAGGGCTCCAGCTGGGGGTGCAGGCTCTAGGGTGGGGCCAGAAATGAGAAGTTCAGGGTATGGGAGGGACTCTGGGCTGGGGCAGGGGCTGGGGGTGCAGGAGGGTGCTCTGGGCTGGGACTGAGGGGTTCGGAGAGCAGGAGGGGGATCTGGGTTGGGGCAGGGGATTAGGGTTCAGGAGGTGGTCAGGGGTGCAGGCTCTGGGCAGCGCTTATCTCAAGCAACTCCCAGAAGCAGTGGCAAGTCCCACCTCTGGCTCCAATGCAGAGGTGTGGCCAGGTGGCTCTGCATGCTGCCCTGTCTGCAGGTGCCGCCCCTACAGTTCCCATTGGTTGTGGTTCTCGGCCAATGGGAGCTGCAGGGGCGGCACTTGGGGCGCGAGCAGCATGCGGAGCCGCAGGGGGACATGCCACTGCTTCTGGGAGATGCACAAAGCAGGGCAAGCCCCCAACCCTGCTCCCTGGCTGAAGTGGGGCAAGCCCTGGACCCCGCTACCTGGCAGGAGCTCAAGGGAGGGATTAAAAAAAGGGCCAGATGCCACCCCCGCCCCTCTCCCGGCTGTAGTTTGCCCCGCCCTGTCCTAATGGCACAGCTGGTTCATTGTTTTATTACTGGTATTATGGTTCTATTTGGATTATTGATTAATGAAACATCAGATAACTCTACTCAACTGGTGTTTATAAGATAGATCAGCACTGCATAGAATGGGCTAATACTTTACGTAGTTCGGAGGACAGATTTTCAGCTTACATTCTGTTTCAAGTTGATTGCAATTCTGTGGGTTTTTATATCCTGCTTTTTTACTTTTTTTGCAGTCATGATTAACCAGACCTCACGTCTTAACCAAGTAATTCATTATACCCTTTGCAGCTAGGACATGGGATATAGATGCTATGATTATGGCTATAACTTTAGCTTGGAGGTCATGGTGTTCATGGTATAATGAATTGGAATCAAGTCCATGACAAACCCACCCCACACTCACCTCACAGCAGTGGCTCCTGTCCTGGGGGGATGGGCCCAACTCTCCACTCTGGACGTTACAACCTGGTTACAGCATCACTCAAGGTTGACACGTGCTTCCCGCTGTAGATGGAAACTGAGGAGTGGGGAGCCAAATTTGATTGGCACACTTAGCACATGGAGTCACAGCGCCATTCAGGTGTTGTGTGTCTGTCCCTCTGTCTCTATCTACAGAAGACTGAGAGAAGACAAGATTTCAAGGAGGAGTGTATAATCAAGGGTACCAAAAGCAACTGAGAGGTCATGGAGGAAGAGGATGGAGCAGAGACATGGTAGTGGTGGAAGGCAAGCTGAAATGTGCATTTTCTACACTTAGGAAAGAGTGAAATTTTGCTTGCATGTAGCAGTCAAGGCAGAGGATGTAAAGCAGCAACACTCAATTAGAGCTACCTGTGGGCCGATTTGAGAATTTTATGACAAGAGGCGGGCCATTTGTGGGGGGGAGGGATAGCTCAGTGGTTTGAGCATTGGCCTGCTAAACCCAGGGTTGTGAGTTCAGTCCTTAAGGGGGCCATTTAGGGATCTGGGGCAAAAATTGGGGATTGGTCCTGCTTTGAGCATGGGGTTGGACTAGATGACCTCCTGAGGTCCCTTCCAACCCTGATATTCTATGCAGAAGGCTGACAAAATAAACAAACTTCAGTTGGCACTTAATAAAGACCTTGATTGCCACATAAATATTAGAGTTTTTATCTTTTAACAAAGTATAAAAATCAACATTATTACCTGTGTTTGTGATAATCTCGAATGGGAAAGGTGACAGTGACGATCCCTGGCAAGCTTTATGAAGAGTGTTTTGGAGGAGCTCAGGGCAAGGCACATGCACCGGTGAAAATGCTCATCTATCAGACAATTGTGGTGTTGGTTTTTTATAACGCCAATGGTAGAAAACCCAGATCCACAGAGGTATGTTGATCCAAACATCTTTAAAAGATAGAAGGGTAGATTCTGGCTATTCTGAAATTGGCCAGCATTTTAAGTCCAGTAATCACAAAGTTCCACTTCTCTGAATTTTGCTTCCAAGACATCTGAGCTCTGGAGCCTTAATTGTTTAGGAATTCTTGCATCGTTTACATCGAAGTTTCACCTCTACCAACAACGTGTAATGTGGAGAAGTGCAATATCTTTCCTGTTAAGACTGTCTGAAAGGCATCATTTTTTCTAAACAGATCCCCGACACTGCTTGCATGGCCTTGGAGCTGCAAGTTGAGGGAATTCAAGTGACCAGTAATATCACACAGAAAAGCTACCTGTGATACAGAGAGGACATCATTCATAAATTCCAGGACCTTGCAAGCTTTGTTCATCTTGTAGTTTGAAAGAAATTCTATTATTTCTTTTTGAAGCGCAAAAAACCTCTTTAACATACGCTCCCTACTTAACCAGCAAACGTCACTGTGCTGCAATAGGTCACTGTATTTGGCTGAAATGTCTTGTTAAAAGAGCTTTAAAAAGATGGTGTTGCAAGCTATAATTTGAGCATGTGTAGTTCATTAATTTCCTCACAATACCCATTGTTTTTTCAAGTCCCCAGACAACTTACCGCATAGGACAGTCTAGTGAATGGTGCAGTGAAGTATATTTGATGAAGGGTGTATCACTGCCAAACATGAAGCAAAGCCCTTTTCTTTTCCTGTCATGGAGGGACCCCCATCTGTAACAAGCAGATTTTGTTTTCGGCAGATCTAAACCATTTTTTTCAAAAAAGCCTTTTACTTTTTCAAAAATGACCTCTCCGGTGGTGTAGATTTCTAATGGTATTAAGCACAAAAATTCTGCCTTGAAAATGTCACCATCATAAAATCTAACAAACAGTGATAGCTGGGCAGTGTCGCTTAAATCATTTGATTTGTCCATTGCAAGAAGCATATATTTGGCATTTTTTAAGTCAGAAAACAGTGCTGACAAACAATCCCCATAAATTACCTCCAATCTTCTTATTGGGTGGAATCAGACAGGGGAACTTGCTTCACATGGTTCACAATGTCATCTTTGTTTTTATCTCTGGCAAAAATCTCTTCCAGCAGTTCCAACATGCACTCCTTCACAAGCTTGGCATTCAAGAAAGGCTTTTTCTTTTTAGCTAGTACCAGCTGCAACGCTGTATCAAATATGGGTTTGTAGAGAAGTTACTGTGAGATGCAGGATTGAAGACAAAATGCAGGTGATACAGCTGCCTTTTTATATTCTCTGTAATATGGCTTGTATTTCCTTTGTCCCAAACACAAATTCACAGCAGATAGGCATGGAAAAGAATTTGGAGACCCCAGTACATAGGCATATTCCTGTATGTCCTGCTGACTCAAAGGCGTAGCCCCTGGCTTCTCTCAACAGGTTCATTGTACAGCTGATTGCCCTTGAATGGGCCTCACGCAGTCTGGATAGTGCTATTGTAATCGGTCTAGAGGTGTCACCCAGAAACACAGCACAAGCTTGAGATATCAATGTACCACACATTTATAACTCACAATACAAAGATGACATACATATAAAAAAGCTTATCATATTTAGTAAATCATAACTTTTCCACTGGTACCTTACATAGCATATCTTGCATAAGATTCATTCCAATTTTGGTTTTGGGAGGAAATTATTAAAGAGATTCATCTTATCGCAAAGCGCCAGCTTCCCAGAGCTGACTTGCTTCCTTAATGCTCCAGGAGAGGCTCTACATTTCAAAGAAAGCAACAAATTAATTTCCTTTTTTACTGTTAGCAGCAAGACTTTGTATTGAACATTACTGGGAAAAGTGTGACTTCTCTGGAAATGTGGTATTGCAAAATACGGACTGCCTTTGTAATGCAAAAGCTTTCACACAAAGTGTGTACATAAGAGAAGCGTCAAAAAGAAGATTCCAAATTTTGGTCACCCACTTTGGCATACTCAGAGGAGCAGGATGACTCTCCAGCCAGCAAGCCAGAAGCTTTAGCCAGGTACTTTGAATATTAACCTGATCCTGATTAAATAATAAGCAATGTTTGACATAGTACGTTAATCTTTAATTGTAAATTTTAGTTAATAAAAAGTTGAGAGAGACAGACCAACAAGACTGCATGATCCACCTAGAATGTTATATTAAGTTTACTTCTTTTTTAATATAAAGGTATTCTAACATGTACAAAATTACAAAAACAATTTACATTACAGTTTGCTGACAGTCAGTAGCAAACTATATTTGCATCAGCATTTTATAGAAAGTTAGTACTTTAAAGAGGTTCTCCTGCTGCAATCACTGTGCAATAAGATATGTGTCCTTTGCAATTCAAAGTGCCTCCTCTTCCTTCTGTGGGTGTAAAATAATAGCCCTTCCACCCACCTGACAAAACTCACTGTTGAGGTAAGACCCAAATCAAACGACTCCTACGTACAGTTCACTCTGTTGTGATACAATAGGCGTAACCATTAAAAGCCAAATAAGAGTCCCATGAAGAAAGTAAATCACAGCCACACCACAGCAGAGGTGCCAATATCTGTAATGCGTTCGCAACACCATTTAACATGGGTTTGGGGTGGGTTTTTTTTAACTGAATGGTTACAATTTTAGTTCAGCACTCTAGTGTTAAACAAAACCAAAGCCCCACACCTCTTCGTTTACAAGCATGCGACCCAAACGACGTAAACAGGGCTGCATATTTATAGTTGAGAATAGATTTGGTCTCTGCCAGGTAAAATATCTACAATACAAACTTCTGTGTTCATAGGAAAGCACTGAACTTTCAATTAATTCAAACAATTTCTTGATGGAGTTTCTTTCCAAGGAACTAAAATTAAAGCAGTATACGAAAGAGCATCAGCTTCCAATTCTCACTAGAAAAACATTTTTCCCCAGTAGTTTAGAATCTGAGTTGTGTAGCTCAGTGTAGCTGTGCATTGTACAAGGTGCCAACTATGGTAATTATTCTATTTCCCTTTAAACAAGAAGAAATATCTTCCAAAAGTTCCTTTCTCTGAGGATATTATTGTATCATGCTCTAAGCTGAATCTCTGACAAGAAAGTATATAAAAAATTCTTTTGATCACAATTTGAAGGTTAAAATATTTTAAAACTGAGACTACAGACCAAAGGTGTCCAGGACAACAAGAAAAATTGTACATGTGGGGGTGAGGAAACAAAGTTTCTTATTTCCATGTTGGCTTTGTAATTTTAAAATGATTCTGTTCATTGGCATGGATGACAACACAACTACCTTTTAAGAGCGCTCTTGACGTTGATGAAACGGCCTGAGCAGTACTATTGATCATCTAATCTTACAGAAGACTTTACTGATATGTTAATATGGCTGCTCTGTGCTCGGGGCGGGGAGTTGTATGGGCCCGTGGTGTCTGGGCTCCAGCAAATTCAGGGGCGCGGGGATGAAATCACTACAGGGATCTCCTTGAAGAGGTCATCCCACCAGGGGAGGATTTACCATGAAACAGACCGTGCTGTGGCACGGGGCCCCCAGTGACAGGGGCCCCACAAAATGCAGGACAAATCTCATCTGACAACCTGCTCCTGAGTCCCGGCTGGTGGCGCAGCAGAGCTCAGGCGGGCAGGCTGCCTGCATTCCATGGTGGCCAGTGGCCCCATGCCACTCCCGGAGGCGGCTGGCTGCTGGCATGTCTCTGCATGCCCCTGGTGGGGGGAGGCGGCTCCGCATGATGCCCCCGCCCCAGGCAGCGCACAGAGACCCCCTGCCCTCCTCCTCCTCCCAAGGGGCGTGCAGAGATGTGCCAGCAACAGGGCAGCAGGGCTAAGGCGGCTCCCTGCCCGCACGGTCTCCCTCCCGCCACGCCGCACTGCTCCTGGAAGTGGCTGGCATGTCCCTGCGGCCCCTGGGGGTGGAGTGCCTCTGCACGTTACCCCAGCCCTGAGCACCAGCTCCACAGCTCCTATTGGCTGGGAACTGCAGCCATGGGAACTTGGGGGGGGGGGGGGGGCCCCCCCCCCCCCCCCCCGGCCTAGGAACCACTGCCAAAGGAGTGTGCCGGTCACTTTGGGAGCCGCAGCACCCAAGGTAAGCGCCGCCCCCCTGACCCTTCCTGCACCCCAACCTCCTGTTGCAGCCCAGAGCCTGCACCCCGCACCCAAACTTCCTCCCAGAGCCCTCATCCCATCCCAGACCCCCACCCTCTGCCCCAGCCCAGAGCCCAAGGGGGGCCCCCAAAAATGAAGCTGCACACAGGGCCCACTAACTCTAAATCTGCCACTGCATCCCATACTCTTGTTGTAGGTCCCTCCCTCAAATCTGATGAATCCCTAGGGATCTGGAAGATCCTAGGGGATCCATGGGAGGGCAGAGTCATCCACATGAGAGCCCTATGCCTTTGCATCATCTCTGGCACCATGACTCCAATGGAGACACACTACCAGGGATCAGAGTAGCAGCCGTGTTAGTCTGTATCCACAAAAAGAAAAGGAGGACTTGTGGCACCTTAGAGACCAACAAATTTATTTGAGCATTGTTCCCAAAGCCTCATGGGTTGGAGGGAGGGGCCAGGGAGACTATGTTGTCTTTTCTGACTAAGTTCTTTGAGGCTTATTGGTGTGGAGACAGGATCAAGAAGCTGATGCAGCCCCCACTTCTGTGTGAAAAGGGTGAGCTCTGTATGCAGACCGTCCTGTCCATGTGTGGCTCCAGGGGGCATGAACTGGCCCAGTGAGACTCCCTAAAGAGTAAGGTACCATTCATGGAATCATAGAAATTTAAGGCTGGAAGGGACCTCAGGAGGTCATCTAGTTCAGCCCTGTGTGCTGAGGCAGGATTAGGTAAACCTAGATCATCACTGAGAAGGTGTTTATCCAACCTGTTCTTAAAAACCTCCAGTTACAGGGATTCCACAAGTTCCCCATGGAAGCCTATTCCAGAATTTAACTATCTTTACAGTTAGAAAGCTTATCCTAATATCTAACTTAAATCTCACTTACTTCAGATTGAGCCTAATACTTCTTGTCCTACCTTTAGCAGCCATGCAGAGCAATTGATCACCATCCTCCTTATAACAGACTTTAGCATATTTGAAGACTGTTGGTAGATCTTTCTTTAGACTTATTTTCTCAAGACTAGACATCCCCAGATTTTTTTAATCTGTCCTGATTGTTCAGCTTTTTCTAAACCTTTTATTGTTTTGGTTGCTCTCTTTTGGACTCTCTCTAATTTTTCCATATCTCTCCTAAAGTGTGGTGCCCCGAACTACACATAGTAATTCTGCTGAGGCCTCACCCCAGTGCCAAGTAGACTGGGACAATTATCTCCTGTGTCTTACATATGACATTCCACTTAATATACCCAAGAATGTATAGGACTTTTTTGCAACTGCATCCCATTGTTGACTCATATTCATTTTGTGGTCCATTATAACCCTCCAGTCCTTTTTAGCAGTCCCACTGTCTAGCCAGTATTTCACATTTTGTAGTTGTTCACTCATCATAGACTATCTGAAAAGTAAGGTACCATTCATAGCAGTGAGGGTGGCAGATGTTGCCTTTAATGACCTAGAATTACTCTTTTCTTTACTTTTCATACATACATCTTATACACTTTCCATGCTCATTTCAGATGGTTTGTATTAAGTATCTTTGGTATTTTAATGGTAAAATGTGGTGAAGTTTCAGATCGATCCTGTAACTATCTCTGTTGGGATTTCAGACTAACTCTTTCAGAAGAAGAGTATGATGAAATTTCCCAGTCTATTAATGGGTAAGTTTTGTGCATCAGTGTCCTATGGAAATGTCCATTAACATATATTTTAGAAAGGCTTCATGTTATCAGAGCCACTGTTGTTTTACTGTTAAGTGCTTGGTTTTGCCCTGGATGATTCCAGACTCCGATACTTCATTTTCCTAAGCAGGGAATGCGAGTCTAATCTTCCTCTTTCTTGCAGGTGTGTGCTAAGTACTACACATGCACACACCCCTGCTAAAAGAGGAAATCATTTGTGTCCGTTCCTTAGAAATGTGTATCTGTCAGATAGCAGCACGGCTGCAAGTATTTCATTTGACACCCCTTTCTGCCTGTGTGCAGGGTGATAGGAGCTGCATTTGAATGGAAGCCAGCAGCCCATCATGTTGTCCGTACCTCCTTTCAGTGGTGGCCTTCGTTTTGCCAAAGCTATTTCACGGCCCTTGCAGTTTGCTTACTCACTGTTCCCCTCCTTACTCCTTCTCTTCTCCTCTTCCAACCCTCTCCATGCTTCTTCTACTGTCTCACCCTCTTCCTCCCACACTTCCTCCTTGAAACTTCTTCTGCCTTGTTCCTTGCTCCACCCAACTCAACCCTTATGATATTGTGTCAACAGAGGGCCTGATTCTGCCACCCTTACTCATGCCACCTTACTCCATGAATAGTTTCATTGGGATTACTCATGAAGTAAGCTGTGACTCAATGTAAGTAAAGGTGGCAGTGCTAGGTTCTTAGATTGCAGACTGTTTTTGACAAGGACCATGTCTTTATGTTCTGTAGAAGGCCAAACACACCTTGAGTGAGAGGTGGCACATAGCTGTCCAGCACCAGGATGACCTGTAACTCAGAGTGACAAGTCCTTCCTTGCTCCCATGGGGAGGGAGTAACTTATTTCACTCCTTTTTGTGAAGACTCTGTTGTCAACTTGGCCAACATATCTGGCTGGCTATTGGAGAGGACAGAGCCAAGTCTATTCCCACTCTTTCCCCCTCAACACCCACCTACTTGCAAAAGGGAGCAGTGGTCAAGTAGCTGCAGCTTACTTTTCATCCCCACTCATCTGTGATCAGAGTTGCAATCTGAGGAGGGCTGCACAAGTGAGTAAGGGTGGGCCATACCCAATCTTGCTGCCCTGCTATGTTAAGTAAGGGCTGTGAGAATCTGACTCTGTAAAAGAAAGTATCTGCATCCATTGAATCGTATATGGAAGCTTCGGATCAGAATGCTATATATGGCCTTTTATCTTATAAGGCTTGTATGTTTTAGCTTCAGGTTCTTTTCACTCTGAAAATATTATCTTTAATTATTATCAGCAGGCCCCACCTCTTTTTTGAAGTGTTGGAATTTACTGTAGCACATAGGCATTGTGATCATATGGTTTGGTGTTTGCCTCCAATGAGTTTAGGTCTCAGGGTTCTTATCAGTCTTGTCCATGTTTACCCATTATATTATGCCTGGACCTGTAGTTATTTACATGTAATAATACTTTATTGTTTTTCAGGGTACTTTTCCCAGGAGGTGGTGTTAGTCTTAAGACTTCAGAATATTCTAGGGTTGCTAGGATATTTTACAAGAACGCACTAAAGGTAATCACTTAAAGGAAAAACTGTTCTGGTTATTGTCGGTGTTCAGGGACCAAAATCATGGGAGGCTTATATTTGGACAGTCTCCAACTGGAGTGCAGTATATTCCTGTTAGCCTGTTAATAAGCAGCTGACTGTTAGTATGTGTGTGTAACAAATCATCTAATAGCTTTAGATGCAGGTCTGAACTGAACACCTCCAAACTTCAGAAAATTAGCATCTGAACTTTAAGGTTTGAGGCCCATCGCTAAATAATTTAAGTGAAGTCAATTGTTAATTTCTTTATTTGTACAACATTACTTGTAAAATTTAGCTTAGTCACCCTTATTGCCAACACTTACACAAACTTTCTTGGTATCCAGTGTATTTTTTATGAAGTAGAAGTGCTCAGATGTTCTGCTCAATACTAAATCAGGCCAAGATTTTCAGGCGTTTGGGTGAGTGCTCAGCACTTTCTGAAAATCAGGCCCTTTAAGTGTTTCAGGTTGAGCACCCAAAAAGTCAGAACCTCAAAATAATGGGTCACTTCTGAAAATCTTGGCTACACTCTTTGCTAACTGTAGTTAACATACTTTCCCCAACATATTTAACTGTACAAATCTATCCTAACAATACAGATATTTTGCCTCTCTTCTGTTATGCATAATGAAGGCAGATATGAGCTATGATGAAGGAAATAGCCTAATAAGTATGCTGCAATGAGAAGAAGTGGCTAAGACATACAAGTTGATGCTGCAAGAAAGGGACTGGAAAAAAACAGAATAGATCAGTTAGCAAGAAGTCAGCTGTGAAGTTCAAACTATAGCCCGTAGGAAAAGGAGAGGTGCCTGGAGTAGAAGTTTAGGTGCATGATACATAGCAATGCAGATGGCAAGCTGGCCCTGCTGTTTACTCTACCTGTGTGAATTTTACTCTTTCATCCTTTTTCCTATCTGTTTCCTCCACCTCTTAGATTTCATCATTGTCGTAGACTCTGATCTCTGGGAGTTGGGACAGTCTTGTTTACATGTGCAAACAGAGCCTAGCACAATGAAGCCTGTATTCTTGACTGGGGCCTCTAGGCACTGGTGCAATAAAAATAGTAAATAATAATGATACCATCCAAAAACAGGGAATATTTAAATGTTAAATGCATTAATTCTGTACATATACAGTTTACTCAAGTCATATCATTATATAGCATTAAAGGGAGTCTAAAGAGACCCTAAAGTGATGTTATTTACAACTTCTTTGGCACCCACGCATTCAAATTCCCTTATTCTTACACATGGGCAAATAGATTTCAGTAGATCTAAGTGTGTCTTAGTGTGTGTGTGTGGGAGGGAAAAGTGTAAGTTAATGTGAGTCACACATTTTACAAATTTCCTTTGAATTTGACCCCCAGTAACTGCAAATCAGTACACAATACCTTAGAAGTGAGCTTGATTCATCGCACAGTAAGGCAGCTGGGTAGAAAAAAATTCTTTACAGAGAATTATCTAGATTTATATGGATAACATAATTTATAGTGAGGCCGTTTCTCTTGGAATATGCCAGTGATGCTCTGATTCATCACTGAAGATAAATAATTAATTCTCATTTTCTAAGAGTCAGTTTTTTCAAAGGTTAGTTGTGTCCCACTTGGCCTATCTTGAAGTAGAAGTCTGATCTTCCAAGGTCCTGGCAGCAGTGAATCTCTCCATTTTACTAATCTTTTACCTCAAGAGAGGTCAGTCTCTCTCTCTTTTGGTGGGAACCTTTACAGTGGAGCTGATCAAAAAAGCGATTGTTATGCATTTTTTTCATCCAAATTAAAAATTTCAATGAAAACCACTGTAGCAAAGTCTAATTTCAAAAAAAATGTGACCAGCCCTAAAGCATAATATGTACAATGCATAAACTGATGCAGCATCAGGAAACATTAGCTTGCAATCAGCATTCCTACATACCCTGCTGTGCAGAATATAGCATACAGCAGCCAAGGAAAACACAGTGATATTTTCTCACTGGTATTGGTTTATAGAGATTATTTCAAAATGGTAGGTGCTTCACCCTGGATAGTGTTGTGTATGATTGTCTGTGCTCTGGGTCTCTCACTGCACAGGTGGCCACTGTGAAATAACTGGGGGTCAGTACAATGTGTGTTTGGTCTGATGTATACACGTATCTGAGGGTACAAGTCACTTTTCTGTGCAGTTTGTGTCCTCCCCGCCATCTTTTTTCTTGGGCATTGCCATCTGGTTATCATAGACCCTGATATTGCAAAGACTTGCTTACCTTTCTGTAGTGTGAGTAGTCCCATTTACCTCAATGAAACTATGCACAATGTGTTAAGTTAAACATGTGAGTAAGCATGCAAGGGCCATAGAGTCTGATGGAGGGACCATACAGTAAACAGTAGTGATCATGAAATATGAACATTTGACAGCAACTCAATAAATTGCTTGTGTCGTTCTTTAGATACAGAGTTTGAGAGAAGATCTTTGTAGACATGGTCTATGCCAGGGATTGGCAACCTTTGGCATGTGGCCTGTCAGGGTAAGCCCCTGGCGGGCCAAGACGGTCAAGAGCATGTTTGCATGTATAAAGATGTCTGGAATTTCTACTGTTCTTTTAAATTCATGTCCATGTCTCTTCCCACTTTTCCTTGTCAAATTCAAAATAAGAGATTACTTGGTGTGACTGTGTTTTTAAATTACATGTACACGCAAGGGGTGAAATCCTAGTCCATTTGAAGCCAATGGGAGTTTTGCCTTACACTCTTCTCAGCTACATTAGAAAAAAAATTCAGTCTTTAGTGATGTTAAATATGTGGTTAGCATCTAGGCTCATTTTTAGGGACAGTGACTATAAGGGGAGTACATGTTAAGGGCTTGATTATGGTTTCACTTAAACTCTTTTGACATCATTCATTCCTCACATGCACCAGAGTAAGTGAAAGGAGCAGCAAGCTTTACACATCTAGTATTTACATGGCAGATGACTATAAATAGGCTTGCCATAATTTGTTTTAAGTTTTTAAATATTTTTACAGATAATATTCATGTTTATTTTAAAGCATTTTTTTAGATTTTTATCAATTTAAATTTCCACAGTTGCAGGAAATTATGGGGAGAGTGAGAAAACAGTGTGGGTCAGATAATTATTTAATGACAGTAGATGCTGAAATTCAACATGTTTAAAGCTTTATACCATTTAAATATAAATTGTCATGACCACATGTCCAAATATACAAAAGTAAATACCCTTAATGAAACTCTCATAAGTTCTGAAGTAGCATTTTCCTTGCTTTGCTTATTTGTACATTTCAGTTATCATTGATGGAACTATTTTTTCATGAGTTTGTGTATGTATGGTGAAATTGACTTTTACAAATATGTATCTGATATCTAATCCTTCCAAGCCTAGCTCTAAATATACCGTGATACCGTTGGAGCTTCTTTGCATAGATAGTCAATATTTCAACATTTTACTGTAGGAGCAAGGATCTATGTGAGCTTTTAGGGTCACAGTGTCAGTGATATAGTTAAGATGGAGGTAGCACCTTAATGTTCGGGAGACAACAGGGCTTTTAAAACCTGTGTGTGGCCAGAAAAACTACTGTGTAAAAACGCCACCTTCTCACTGTCCAGATCTCTCTGAGAATATTCAGAGCCATATGTGCTTCTTTAAGTTACAAAAATGAGTTTCATTCTGCTTTTTATTAGCTATTCTTTCTTTCTTCCCTTACGCTAGTTTTGCCCTTAGCTCAGATTTCATATCAGTTTCATTGTTTTTAAAGTAACAGTGCCACTTTCTATTTTATGTTGTTTAAAGTCAGAATTTTTCCTCCAGGAACCTAGAGTACAAAATTGCTGGCTATGCAAGCGTCAAGCACATAAAAGGGCTAGATGTTGCAGAACTCCCTGTCCCCCACAGAAATAAAAGGATGTACTATTTGTTAATGCATAGCGTTGTGCTTGCCTCGTAGTAGGAATGTCCTCATTTCATGGTTCTCACGTCCAGGCCACTCACAGGATTATCTGCCAATACCCTACAAAGGTCCAGTGCATATTAACATGTACCTAAATTACTCTATGTGTTGACATATTTCTTGACTTTTTTTGCTTCTTATTTTAAAGACTAATGATAAAGGAGACTATTTTCCTGTCTGGGGAACATGTCTGGGACACCAAGAGCTTACATATCTCACCAGTGGGAAGAACTTACTGGTTAAACCGAAAACTGAGAATATTTCACTCCCATTGAACTTTACCACAGGTGAACACGACAAATATCATTTGGTTTCACAGGAATCATGTTAGAGCTTCTCTCTCCCCTTTTAATGTTTTTCTTGTAATGAACCAACATTTAAGGTTGAAGATTTAGAACAGGTGAGACTAATGTTTTTATTATGTTGATATTGTTCTAGCAATAGAATTCTATGAATATAAAATAAGAGGTCTGAGAGCAAACTATTTGCAGGCCACAGGTATATACAGAGAGGCCAAAATCAAAATTGTGGCTCTGAACAGCCATGAACTTTGGGGAAATTTCGTCCGAGATCCATAATTTAGGTCTAGTCCCCCAGCTCTGTAATGAGCTGAATAAAATGTTTGGATCCAAACACCTCCAAGCGTTGGAGACATTTGGATTAGAACTTAGCAGGTTGGCTCACTTCTAATCATAAATGGCAGCACTGTTCTTCTTGGTGGTATAACACATAGCGTTGAAAGCAGTTGGTCTGCCTCCAGAATGAGATGCAAGTCAGCATATGGGTAGCAGAATCTGACTCTGAATGATGCTTTCTGTGGCTTTTTATCTCACAGCAATGAGCAGGATTTCTCCAATTGTTTGCCAATAATTAATGGACTAAATGCTGTTGCCTTGCCTTATTTAGACAATTCTGCCTTTCTTAATTACATAGAGTAATACCTTATCTTGTGGGTAGTCCCACTGAAATTAATGGTAGAATAGGGTTCTAATCAGTGTGAACAAAGGTGGCAGAATCAGGACCTCAATAGATCAGGGCTTCAGCATATGGCCTGGTGAGAATTGCAAGGGTGAAGTCGGCTGGAGCTGTGTTACACACATGTGAGTATATTTCAGGGGTTTTCTTGATTAATAAAGTCTAACAAAAGAACAGAATCAAAAGGATTTGAAATGAATTCAGTCAGTACTTTATCACGTGTATCCCCATCCTATTAATGATGTTCCATTGATCATACAATAGTCAGAATATTCCTTTCTTTTTTTGTACAAGCTGCAAAAGACAGCAGGATGTTCCAGAATTTTCCAGATGACTTGTTGCAAAAACTTGCCACTGAGCCTTTGACGGCACACTTTCACAAGTGGAGTGTCTCCATTAAGGTATTTGACTATTTGATTTAGTGAATTCAAATGAGTTTATTCTTCTAAATCTATAAATATAACAGTTTTTTTTCTGTCATTTGTTTGCTGCAGAATTTCAGAAAGAATGAGAAACTAACCAACTTCTATAAGGTTCTGACAACTAACACAGATGGAAAGATAGAGTTTGCATCCACAATGGTGGGTAGCTATCAGTTTCCAATGTAAACTGTGATTGTAATTATTATTATTGTGGAAGATCTCAGTGAGCGTGGTAGTGGTGTTACGAGTTCATAATACAAATTTAATGTTAGGATAATCAGAGGACTGTCAGCACTGCCTGCCTTTCAATTGATTGGAATGTGTTCAGTCTGGACTCTAGAGATAACCTACATCTTCGCCCTTGGCTTTTGATGTGCATGTCTCTGAGTACACGTGTTCCCTCTCTCACCCAACTGCTCCACGCCAGATATGTCAGCACACTTTATCAACAGAATATTTTCAGTGCTGAGGGACAAGACATGGAAGCACCACTTCCATTTTTGTAGTTTAAACCCCTCCTTAGTGCAATGTGTCTACTCTGGACTTCTGCTGCTGGCTGTCTACTGATACTGATGCTGCCTCTCCATGCTGCTCTGTTTATCTGTGCCTCCAGCACAGGGAAAGCTGGTAATTGCTCTCTTCCAAGAGACACCTGCATTACTAGTGCCTTCATCTGAATGTCTAACTCCAGAAGCATATGTCTGGATTCACTAGAGAATGCCAGAGAGAGGATTTAGTCATTGTTCTACTAGAAGCTATGCAGTAGGCTAAATGTATGGTGTATGTACATTCTAGATTAATACTGGAGCTCGATAGCAACTTCTGTGCTGTTAACAAAACTCCTAGCACTTGCTCATTTTTTTAAATGAAACAATTAGAATCATAGAATCTCAGGGCTGGAAGGGACCTCAGGAGGTCATCTAGTCCAACCCCCTGCTCAAAGCAGGACCAATCCCCAATTTTTGCCCTAAATCCCTAAACAGCCCCCTCAAGGATTGAGCTCATAACCCTGGGTTTAGCAGGCTAATGCTCAAACCACTGAGCTATCCCTCCCCCTGATAAGCTATCCCTCCCCCCGATAGTTTTCTTTTTTCAGTTTTTTAATACTGCAACTAAAACAATCAGATTACGAAGGGGGAACAATAACCTGCAGAAACTTGTTTATATAGAATGAAACCCTTTTTCTTTTAACAATCTGCTTAATTTTAATTGTAACTTTAAGTTCTCATACTATATAACTGACCAAATTATTTTTTTAAACTTAAATAAATATTGTTCTTGGCCTGAAACTTTTTGGATAGGAATAAATTTTCACAACAGAGATCCAACTTGCTGCTTAAGGCTTTGTGTTCCTGTTAGAGAACCCACTAATTATTAGTGAGAACTGTAGTAATGTATTCATTGTAATAAAATTGTGCATGCAATGACTTGAGTGAAGACCTAATATGTGCACTGATGGAAAATTTGTTTATGGCAGCATATAAATCCCCTATTTATGGTGTCCAGTGGCATCCAGAAAAAAGTCCTTTTGAATGGAAGAATGTCTCAGGCATACCACATTCCCCATCAGCTGTGAAAGTAACATATTATATTAATTAATGAAGGTAAGTTTTTTTTCCATTTATATATATAAAATTCAGTTTCAAAGAGATAAAGTAGTAGAATGTTCTCTGGGGTGGGGAAAAGTCCCCTTTTCAAGTGTCAAAATACTATACCTTTGATTGATCTGTGAGCACATACTATGCAAGCTTAAAGGCTTATTAAAAGGAGGGACACTTAATAGAATGGTTAAGTAAAAATAACAACAAAAGCCAAGCATTCTGATGGAAGCAAACAAATTCCTTTCAGTAGAGAATAATTTGCCAGAAGGAGAGTGTTGATTTTTAATTTGAGATAAATTCTTGAGCAGACACCAACAACCAATGAAACTTTAGAATTGTTAAGGCTGCAGTCTAGGAGAACTGAAAGCTCTTATTCACATCCCAGTCTCACTCTACCTTGGGCAAAGTAGGTAGAATGAAATAAAATCTCCTATTCATTATTTCCAGAAATTTCCTCAGTTTTGTTTTATTTGGGGTAATTACAGCAGATCCAGAAGAGGGATGGACAAAAATAAGTAGGAAACTGTCTCCAGGCTCAGAGAAAGACCAATGCATTTTCCTCTTGAAGTGCAACAAAGCAGTCCAGCCTAGCCACATTACAAACTCTTCTGTGTTAGTCTCTTAAGGTACAGAACTTAATCCTCACAGCCTCTCTCTACAGCCCTTACTCCATTTGGCTGAAAAAGCTTCCACAGCCTGGGAAGGGGTCTTCAGACAAGGTTGACTACAATGCTATAGGCCAACACTGTCTCCTGAACACTCTTTACATAGTTTGCAAAAATCAGAATCCCTCCTGCCTATTTCTTCCCTACCATAAAAATAAAATGTAGAGTGAGAAACACAAAATATTTGTTTAATAGGGAGCAGGTTTAATACAAACAAGAGAAAGTACTTTTCTCATAACACAGAACTACCCTGTGGAACTCATTGCCATGGGATGCTGTGATAGCTAAAAGTAAGCTGGGTTCAAAAAAGCACTACATGTGTTCAGGGAGGATAGGTCCACGAATGACTATTATCCAAGATGATCAGGGATGCAACCTCATGCTCAAGGTAACCCTAAACTTCTGACTACCAGAAAACCAAGTGGAGAAGACAGGGATGGATCATTCCAACTGCTCTTTTCTGTACGCCTCCCATCCTAAATCTCTGGTACTGGTCCGTATGGAGAGAGCACACTAGGCTAGATGAACAATTGGTCTGACCCAGTATAGCTTCCTATGATTGATGGAGACACAGAATCTATGAGCATTTAACAGCCAATCCATTCTGCTGAAACATAATTGACTTTTGATCAATGGTATTTCTTACAATGTTGTTAATTTTAACCTGAGCATGCTCCCAGAAGTGAAAAACTGAACTGGTAGGATTTTTGTTTTCAGTGTTGTTTCAGCCATATTGGCCCCAGGATATTAGAGAGAGACAAGGTGGGTGAGGTAATGTCTTTTATTGGATTTAGGTCTGTTGGGGAGACAAGCTTTTGAGCTATACAAAGCTCTTTTTCTGGCCTGGGAAAGATACTCAGAGGGTCACAGGTGGATATTTAGACATCTGAAGAAGCATTCTGTGTAGTTTGAAAATTTGCCGCTTTCACCAACAGAAGTAGGTCCAATAAAAGATATTATCTCACCCACCTTGTCTCTCTCAGAAGGATTTTGTTTTCCTTGCAAATACAATCTTTCCCAACTTTGCAATTTCTTTTTTAAAAAAACCTATATTTTTATTGTTTTTATATAAAATATAAACATATAACATAAATACAGGTTTCAGAGTAGCAGCTGTGTTAGTCATATAAAAACACGCACAAGATGGAAATACCATATATCAACAAAAATTGTAAAACCTGGAGGAAAATGAACCCAAAATAAACAAACCAACCCCCCAGATTTAAAACGTGCCCCAGTGTGGGCATGTTCAGACCTCTGATGGCTTCAGTTCTATCCTCTCTTCCCCTCCCTATATTATCTAATAATAGTCTAAACATTTCTAAATACAAATATATTTTAAGTCAAATATAATTTTGTATATACTATTGGGCATTCTAGAATATGTATAATATATTCCTACCTACAGATTTTATGTATACTTATAGAATCATAGACTCATAGAAGATTAGGGCTGGAAGAGACCTCAGGAGGTCATCTAGTCCAGCCCCTTGCTCAAAGCAGGACCAACACCAACTAAATCATCCCAGCTAGGGCTTTGTCAAGCCAGGGCTTAAAAACTTCTAAGGATGGAAATTCCACCACCTCCCTAGGTAACCCATTTCAGTGCTTCACCACTCTCCTAGTGAAACAGTGTTTCCTAATATCCAACCTAGACCTCCCCCACTGCAACTTCAGACCATTGCTCCTTGTTCCGTCATCTGCCACTACTGAGAACAGCCAAGCTCCATCCTCTCTGGAACCCCACTTCACTCAGTTGAAGGCTGCTATCAAATCCCACCCCACAACTCTTCTGGCATCACAAAATGGGGAAGAGATGGACAGCCCTCTGTGGAGATAGAGGTGGTTAGGGACTATTTAGAAAAGCTGGACGTGCACAAGTCCATGGGGCCGGACGAGTTGCATCCGAGAGTGCTGAAGGAACTGGCGGCTGTGATTGCAGAGCCATTGGCCATTATCTTTGAAAACTCGTGGCGAACCGGGGAAGTCCCGGATGACTGGAAAAAGGCTAATGTAGTGCCAATCTTTAAAAAAGGGAAGAAGGAGGATCCTGGGAACTACAGGCCAGTCAGCCTCACTTCAGTCCCTGGAAAAATCATGGAGCAGGTCCTCAAAGAATCAATCCTGAAGCACTTGCATGAGAGGAAAGTGATCAGGAACAGCCAGCATGGATTCACCAAGGGAAGGTCATGCCTGACTAATCTAATCGCCTTCTATGATGAGATTACTGGTTCTGTGGATGAAGGGAAAGCAGTGGATGTATTGTTTCTTGATTTTAGCAAAGCTTTTGACACGGTCTCCCACAGTATTCTTGTCAGCAAGTTAAGGAAGTATGGGCTGGATGAATGCACTACAAGGTGGGTAGAAAGCTGGCTAGATTGTCGGGCTCAACGGGTAGTGATCAATGGCTCCATGTCTAGTTGGCAGCCGGTATCAAGTGGAGTGCCCCAAGGGTCAGTCCTGGGGCCGGTTTTGTTCAATATCTTCATAAATGATCTGGAGGATGGTGTGGATTGCACTCTCAGCAAATTTGCGGATGATACTAAACTGGGAGGAGTGGTAGATACGCTGGAGGGGAGGAATAGGATACAGAAGGACCTAGACAAATTGGAGGATTGGGCCAAAAGAAATCTGATGAGGTTCAATAAGGATAAGTGCAGGGTCCTGCACTTAGGACGGAAGAACCCAATGCACAGCTACAGACTAGGGACCGAATGGCTAGGCAGCAGTTCTGCGGAAAAGGACCTAGGGGTGACAGTGGACGAGAAGCTGGATATGAGTCAGCAGTGTGCCCTTGTTGCCAAGAAGGCCAATGGCATTTTGGGATGTATAAGTAGGGGCATAGCGAGCAGATCGAGGGACGTGATCGTTCCCCTCTATTCGACATTGGTGAGGCCTCATCTGGAGTACTGTGTCCAGTTTTGGGCCCCACACTTCAAGAAGGATGTGGATAAATTGGAGAGAGTCCAGCGAAGGGCAACAAAAATGATTAAGGGTCTGGAACACATGAGTTATGAGGAGAGGCTGAGGGAGCTGGGATTGTTTAGCCTGCAGAAGAGAAGAATGAGGGGGGGATTTGATAGCTGCTTTCAACTACCTGAAAGGGGGTTCCAAAGAGGATGGCTCTAGACTGTTCTCAATGGTATCAGATGACAGAACGAGGAGTAATGGTCTCAAGCTGCAGTGGGGGAGGTTTAGATTGGATATTAGGAAAAACTTTTTCACTAAGAGGGTGGTGAAACACTGGAATGCGTTACCTAGGGAGGTGGTAGAATCTCCTTCCTTAGAGGTTTTTAAGGTCAGGCTTGACAAAGCCCTGGCTGGGATGATTTAACTGGGAATTGGTCCTGCTTCGAGCAGGGGGTTGGACTAGATGACCTTCTGGGGTCCCTTCCAACCCTTATATTCTATGATTCTATGATTCTATGATTCTCTTCTGCAGACTAAACAACCCCAGTTCCCTCAGCCTCTCTACTATGTACAGTAGAACCTCAGAGTTATGAACACCAGAGTTATGAACTGAGCAGTCAACCACACACCCCATTTGGAAATGGAAGTGCACAATCCGACAGCCGCAGAGACCTAAACAAAACAAAAAAACAAATATAGTACAGTACTGTGTTAAACGTAAACTACTAAAAATATAAAGGAAAAGCAGCATTTTTCTTCTGCAAAATAAAGTTTAAAAGCTGTATGAAATCAATGATCAGCTGTAAACTTTTGAAAGAACAACCATAGCATTTTGTTCAGAGTTACGAACATTTCAGAGTTATAAACAACCTCCATTCCCAACGTATTCATAACTCTGAGGCTCCACTGTATGCATATACATATAAACAAACTCATCACATCTACATTTACAACTGATCTGGTAAATCAAATATAAATTAGTATGAAATCTAAAAATGAAAAATGCAAGATAAAATTATATTCACAGTATGTCCAATGCTCTGCACAAATTGAATAACTAGTGCTATTTAAGGTTATAGTGTACTTTACATGTCAGGAGTGTTGCCTATTCCAAAGGACTTGTGGTCACCGTAACACAAGACATGAGAGGCAGAGCTAGTGAAAAGATTCTGTCTAGCGGTTCAAGTTGCGATGGTTAGTGCAGATAATACTTCAGTCAGCAGATGTTGCTATAAACCTCGGCTTAGTGTTAAACAGTTAGTCTATGCACTGCAGCATTATTCGGTTGTCCTTAAGTGGATGGGTATTTGATGCTGTATCTGAGGTTGGTCCCCCTCAGGATTTGCTTTATGCTATTGAATTATAGGTGCTGAGTCTGTGGGTGCTCCGGAGGTGGAGCACCCAGGGGAAAAAAAGGTGGATGCTCAGCATCCACTAGCCGCCCACCGATCAGCTGTTCGGTGGCAGGGGGGAGGTGCTGGCGGGAGTGGGGGCAGGGCCTCAGGGTGGAACACCCACCCAGGAAAATGAAAGTCAGCCCCTGTGCACTGAATGCAACCCTTTTTTTGCTAAGCTCAGCTGAGAAGGCAGGAAAAAGAGAAAAATTGTGGCCTTTGTACATAAAGGTTTTAGGTTTTCTGGCAGCTTTCATTAACGTTACTTGATCATCTTCAAGCTATTCAGTAGCTTGAAGACGATGAGTCTGGGCTTGCCAGAATCTTGGCTAGTAGTATCAGGCATTTGATGAGCCCTTTCAATATCTAATGGGAGCAGCTGGGGATCCAATTTAAGTATGTCAGAGAGCTGCTTCTGAAGAAAGCTGATAGTATTCTTCCCCTCTAAACCTTCAGCAATGCCCAAGAGGCAAAAGTTGTTTATTTGAGATCTGTTTTCTAAGTCATCCTATTTTCTTCCACTTTGTCTAGTGTAAGTTTAAGGAGGCTGTTTCTTCTTTAATTTCCCTTTGTAGCTCATTTTCCAAGTCAGCCATTTGGGATTTTATATCACATACATCCTTAGAGAGACCACAGATGTCTTTTGACATTAAATCCAGTTGTGAGGAATTCCTTTGGTGCCATGATATCCTGAGTTAGGTTTTGCTGAGGCCCTGCGGTCTCCACTTTCAGCTGCTTAGGTGATGCAGGGTCAGATCTTTTGTTGCCTTTTCATTAGAATCCATAGTCAAGTGTTCAAAGTTTATTCAGCGGATCAATTTCAACTTTGATGACAGAAACTTACTGCCAATTTGCCAAGAAAGTAATTATTAGAGATGAATTGATATGTAGGGAGTGAAGAGGTCCGAGACTAGGTAGCCACCTTCGTCAGGGGTACCACGTGACCCCCAACTTTGCGATTTCTGTTAGGATAGAATTGCAATGTATTAGTTCTGGTTTTGCAGATGTCTCCAGTGCTGCAAGAATCAAATTTTTAGTAGCAGTCATTGCTTTTAAAAATGAACATAGCCTTCCATGATAATAAAGTATCTTTATTACCAGTATCCTTTGGAAAAGGTAGCTCCACGATTTCCACCACCAATTTAAATTATGATGTTATTATTGTTGTTATTTATTATTAAATTTTTATATCACTGTTTGCTATAATTGCATATAGAATAACTGACTTCACCAAGCAAGATACTATCATAGACGATGACAGTGAAGTAATTTGTACTTTTAAAATGTCTTACAGCCTGGAAGAGCCTGCACTGTTTTCCCAGTAAGAATGAAGAGACCGAAACATTGATTTATAATTATGCCCCTGTTTTTAGTAGTGCATTTTCTATATTTCAGTAAATCTATTTTTTTGATTGAACATCCATTCCATGGGGCAGGGTAGCTATCTGTAAATAGAGTTATTTGTTGCAAGTTTCATAATTAAACTCATGTTGTGCATTGCAAGTGGCAGAACACCAGAATGCTTAGCTTACCTTACAGTGATTTATCTTATGTTACCTCTGTAGAATTGGTCCATTAATCTGACAAATTTTCATTCAGTGACATAATAATTGCCCTAGATCACATTTTAATATCGCTTACAGGGAAATACATTTTACCTCCAGGGATGGAATCTTGATTGTGCTTATAAATTAGAAAAGAATCAGGTTTATTAATCAGTGCCAAAAAAATGAACAATGCTCTTGTCATATATTTGAAAGAAATAAGTTTAATTCTTCAGAACACTATGGGCTCTGTGATAGCATGTGTGTTGTTTAATCAGATCTTTTAGCATAATTCTGTTCTTTTGGAAAATGTCCAGAATTGATAACTGAACTGAACCAGAGCCCCACAATGCTTTATGGCTTGACCAAAGGTGAAGCAGAAAACTATTGTCTGAGAAGCTATAGTGCCATGTTACAGTGGTAGTTTCACCAAATAAAGAATGGATTTGTATTAAGGACTCTGAAATCAATTCTCACAGACATATTAACCCAAATATATATACTGCTTTATTACTGTAATTATATGGGTAATTGGATAAGGTGTGTTGTGTAACTAAAATAAGAAAGTTGTTAACAAGAAACAAGGAAGGCATATCATATATTTTTAGAATGCTTTATACTTGTGCTAAGTTTAGAACAGTGAACTATACTCATGTTCAGCTTATTGTGGCAATGTACTAGCAGTTAAACCCTTGCAGTCCCTGTTTTTGTACATGTAGTTCTGTTCTTTGTATGGGTAGAGTCTGTCAGAAAATGAGATGTACGTTCTGTTGAGGCTTGTGAAATAAGCACCATCTTCCAGGTACAGATAGTTATATGAACTGGATCTGTTTGGTACAGATGTCTTTATGTCTTGCAAAATGGGTATAAGACTAGATGAGAAAAGAGATATAAGGCTTTGTTAATACAGTGGATTTGAGGATTTTCTATCTGTTGTAAACAAGTGGGGCATAAATATAAGTCAAAGGGAGCTCATACTTTGGGACAAACTGAATGTTACAAGACTGCTCTCCAGACCGGTGATGTATTAACTTTCTGTATTGTGCTGATTTATCTATTTTTGATTAATAAACTGATTGAGCCTAAGTAATATCTTATCAATAAAAGAATTGAACTGATTGGTATCAACAGAATGAAACACTGTTTTGATCTTGAGCTTGACAGAGGTGTGGCTTTTGGCTGAGAAAATGATTTGTCCTTTAGAAACACGACAACAAAAAATAGGGAAACATTATTGCAAACTGGCATACAAAAGTGCATGCAGTGCCATTTGTGAAATGGTATCTGCTATACATTAGGCATCTGTGTCTGGGGAGCCTAAACCTTCTAGAATTTATATAATAGTGAAGGTGCAGTATAATTTGGGGACTACAGACATCAGTTAATATAAATCCATTTGGAGCGGAGAGTTTAAACATTGATTCACCTACTGCTCTCTCCTTCAAGTTCAGACTCACATCTTTCTTAAGCACCTGATCCAAAGCTCACTGAAGTCAGTGGACAGATTTTGGCTCAGGCCCTGAATTTAAAAAGAATATGACTGCCTAGTGTTCTCAATAATGATATTATGTATAATTAGGCTTTTTCTGTAACTGTTGGGTGAAATCCTGATCCTTCCGAAATTAAGGGGAGTTTTGCCATTGACTTCACCAGGATTTCACCCCTTGTTTTTAAACATTTTGATGTGATGCCTTTCAGAAAAGTTACTAGCTGGGATCCATACTGCAGAGATGAATGACAAAGACCAATCTTTTAATGCTGATATGATGTAATGCTTGTAATTGTTAGGCAGCTGCATTTACTGTACTGTTTCCTTTTGCTTTGCCTTACAACACATTACTTGAATTGAAATGAGTCTTCTTGATTCTTGAAAAGTTTGTTCAGTAGTTTTGTGATGTGTCAAAATGGGATAAAGTTGGGGCAATCAATTTCCTTTTCCTTTTCCCTCTACAGGCCCAAACCTCCCATTGAAGTAATTTTGTTATGCTTTTGAAACTTTATTGATTTTATATATAATCTAAATACATAATGAAACAAAATATGTATAAATATGTGGACAAGGTGGAAATACCATATAAATAACAAAATTCAGTGTTTAATATCTGCAAAACCTGGAGAAAACAAACCAAAAGCAAACACACACAAAACCTAGATCCATAGACTGGTCATGCAGGGCATCAATCATTAAGTGACTAAACAGCTAAATAAGTGAGAACATAACCTATGGGCATCAGAGACAAATATATAGGAGGCAGTTTCTTTTTTAATTTTCCTGGTTTCAGTGGCAGTTTTTTGTAGCTCATTTTCCAAGTGAGCCACCTGGGATTTATATCTGGGATTTTATATCACATACATCCTGAGAGAGGCCACAAATCCTTTTTGAGATTGAGTCCGCTAGGACTTCTTTCAGTGCCGCCCTGTCCTGAGCTAGGTTCTGCTGTGGCTTCAGCTGCTTAGGCGATTCTGGCTTAGGTCTTTTGTTGCCTCTCATTTTTAAATTGGGGAGGATAGTCAACAATTTGAAATTTATCCAGGGGATTAATTTAAACTCTCTAGGAAAGTAAATATTAGAGTAGGGCCGGGACTAGGCAGCCAACTTCCTCATGGGTACAATGTTCCACTGAAGTCATTTTGTGTCAGTGAGGAGTTCAGGTTTTGAACCTAAGTCCTCCAGAATTGAAAGTTAGTAACACACAGTACTTCCGGGCAACACGTCTGTAGCACATGTGCTGCATTTCTCAGGTCATTCAAGAGGGTGGAAAACTCCTTACTCACTACTCATGACCTCACAGCCACATTGGCTTGCTACAATTTAACCCTTAACAAAAAATGACTGGAGATGCATTCATTAATATTCCATAAAGCAAAAATTGCATCTCTAACTACTGTCAAGAATCCAGCCCAGTGCTCTCAGAAGCATGGGTGTGGATTGGCTGGTGAAGTCAAATTCAGTGTTTGCATTTCACTATTTCTGGGTACTATTACACTTAAACTCAGGAAAGCTTAGTTGATGTGGGACATTGTAGGTTACTTCTGCAAGTGCTTGACTACTTCAGTTTAGCACAATGCAATTCTGTGCTGTATTATATATCAACTAGTAGCCGAAAGTCTATGCTATCACACGGGTGTGATTCACAAAATCATGTGGCTGAGAACTTAAAAATTGGATGGTAACAGACCATGAATCCCAGTGATGATTCAGCCTGGTGATATTCTCAACAAAAAGAGCTCTCAGCCATGCTTGTAGCTGTTTCCATTGCTTCACATCGACTCACCAGACACTCTAAACTTCAGAGTGATGCACAGAGTGACAATTCTGGACTCCTATATAGAATACTGTGAGCCTGGTTCTCTTCTTACCCCAGTTTTACATTACTGTAGTATAATCCTGATTTCAATAAAATTACTCCTGAGTTCTGAGAATCAGGCCCTATATTTTCATACAGGCACCATAGCTGAACTACTTACACACTAAGGACAAAATCCTACAGTTCTTACTCAGGTAAAACTCCTAGCAATGTCTCTTAGGGCTTGTCTACATGGCAGTGCAGTCCAGACTAAGGGGGTGTGAGCTGTAGAGCATGCTAATGTGTTGCATTCTAACTGTCCCTTGTAGATCCTACTGGTGCAAATTAAAAGATATCTAGTTCACATTAACATAGTCCTGTTTGAAACAGGACTACATCAAAGCAAACTAGGTACCTTTTTGGTTCATGCTAGCAGGGTCTATACAGGGCAGGTAGAGTGCAACACATTACTGTGCTCTACAATTTACTTGTACCATAGTCCAGACTCTGCTGCTATGTAGACAAGCCCTAAAAGTTTGCTCATATAAGGAATGCAGGTTTTGGTCTAAAATAGCAGGGACCCATCCTGCAAGTGGAATTCCTATTAACTTTCATCATAATAATCCAGCCCAAAGTACGTGTGTGTGTGTATTTATTCATGAGCAAGGAAATAAATCTTGCTGTTTTGTTCTGCTTTATAAAGCAATACTTCATTGAACTGATTATATTAATGATGTCCTTTAATACTTGAAATAAAATCTACACAATCAGTTTTGTATCTTCCTTGCAATGTGTACACAGACTTGGAAAAAAAGGGTTAAAGCTGCTTGATTCTCTGATCTGTCCCGATGCAATCACAGAGCAGAGCAGTCTGGAGGCTGCTCTGAACTGCACCACCTGGCGATGATCCCCGGAGACCATCTGTGGATTGCCAGAATGCATTGCTCTCCAGCCACTCCTTTTGTTCAATGACTCTGCTGATTTCCCTCCTGCAGTGGATGGTCCCACACCTGTGATAATTCCAGTGTGGGGGTTGCCATCAGTCTCTGCTCCCTTTGCACACCTCTAGCATTGTAATGGAGCAGAGCAGGGCAGAGAATGTCTCTTCTTTCTAATAACTAATCTCAACTATGAAAAATTAATGTTGTTATGCTGGAGGCTGAGTGGCTCCCAGGAACTGTGCCTTTAATCTACAGGCAGTCCCAAACCTCATGCTGATGGGTATGATAGCTGCCTGTTGTTCCAGCTAAATGAAGGAGCAGGTAAATGCATTTTTGTTTGGTGATAGCTGAAGCCAGTACCCGAATCACAGATCAGTATGGCAAGGCTGGAATAGGAAGTGATCCTTGAGGTCTGAGGAGTTTGGACTGCTGATTGATTACAAGCACAGGGGCTGGGTATTGTTTAGTGGAGCTGAGTGTGTGTGTGAGTCAGAAGGAACCAGAGGCAGCAAAGAGAAGCACTGGTAAAATGGCCCTGAGAGAAAGCCAAGAGAGAGCTTTTTATTGGACAGAGTGCTAGCTGGAAAGAGGCTAGAACTGAGAGCAAAGAAACGGTCTCCTGTTACTTAATTCCTAGTGTTCAGGGAAACAAGACTTTGTGCACAATCTTTGTAAATAAATAGGATTTTATCAAAGAAATGCCAGACTCTATCATCAATTTCTTCTCCTAATGGAAACAATCTGTAGGATGTCGAAATGGCTTATAGTATCAGGGGGTAGCCGTGTTAGTCTGTATCCACAAAAACAACAAGGAGTCCAGTGGCACCTTAAAGACTAACAGATTTATTTGGGCATAAGCTTTCGTGGGTAAAATTTTAAATATATAAATCTTCCAATCTATAAGGCTAGTTCTTAATTACTTAGCACATGTATATAACAGCTCAGTTTTAAAGACCTCACTATTTGCATTATTGAAGTGCAATTAAAATGTGTTTCAGAATTGGTGCAGGGGGTGGACAGATACTGATCTCATTCAGACAGCTGAAACTGAGATCAGAAAGTAGCCTACTATTTTGAAAATTTATCTTCTTTCCATCAACTCCTTAATTCTGTCTATTACATATATTTCAACACCTTTGTAAGCAAGATTTTAAAAATGGTTTTAACTTTGTGCTACTACAATGTTAACACTAGGTGGCCTAAGAGGACCAGTTTATTTAGCTTGCAATTTCTTAAGCAGATGTATAGTTTGTATCATCAGATCATTTTGAAGTTTGAATATAGCTTTCTGGTTAACACCAAAAATGTCAAGTGTTTGAATAGGATAGTTATAATACTGTGGTATGTTACTTAAATAGAAGGGGGGACTGAATGAAATAGGAAGTAATAATTAGATATATATTAGACTTTTGGCATTTCTAGTTGAGACGTAAATTGTATTTATTAACTATACAGAGTGACATACTCCCATCCCCGGCACAAAACAACTGAAAGGAGAAGTGGGAGGAAAGGGTTTGGACATACCATAGGAGGAGTAGTGTTCCCCCAACATTTTCCACCCCTGTCCTCAGGGACTACTGAAGCCACACTGTGTGAAAACCCCTTGGTCACAACTCTAGGGTACTGAATATAACTTGTCCTTATGTGGGAAATACTGATGCAGCAGGGTGCACAGTGTGCGAGTGGAGGCCATTTCTGAGTGCTAGTAAAGTTCAGCTTGACACAATGTCCTCTGCACTGAGGGGATGGCTCCAGCTCCAAGTATACCTTCTCCCTGGTTCTCAAGCATACAGAGTGAAAACAGGGTGGGGTGAAGGTAGACAGTGGGTGTGTCTCAGTAGACATAGTCTTAAATACAATCCTCATCCTGCTTCTAAAGTGTTTAGCTATATGTTCTCCTTGTTTTCCTCCTTGTTAGTAGTTAGGAGTAACTTGGTGTGGGATTCATAAGGGAAATTTTGAAAATTCCAGCCAAAATGATCTCTGATTTGAATGTTTCTTAAATAGAATATAAATGCTGAAACATTATGATGAGGGCGTGCTACAGCAAACCCTAACCTAGATCCTTTACATCTGTGCTTCACAAATTGCACTGGGTTCCAATTCAGTTCCAGGTACAATTCTAGCTGTTCATTTTGATTAATAAAGATCTTTATGTTTTTGGTCTCAGATCTGGTTTACTGCTCCAGCAGTTATCTGCTTGCTAAGTGGTGGATAGAGCACCTTACACACAGCTCCTTCCTCAGGGGTAGATTTTGCTTTGGTTTTCTGTATTCTATCACCCAACTCAGTTCTGTTCCACAACACAAAACACATGTCTGGAGCTAGTTTTCTTTGGAAGTCCTTATGCAGCTAAAAACTGCAAAAACACTTTCATCCAAGAAGTTTCAAACTGCATAAAACTTCCATCAAAATTTAACAATGCTCCTTAAACCAAGAGTTTAAGCTCCAACTTAAGAGTTTTTAAAAAAATTCCCTTTTCCTTTTCAGTCTTTGGAAAAGCAATACAAAAAACAGAAACCCCCTCCCCAAAACCCAACCAACCACCTTTTCGTTCCCACCGAAAGGTGAACAACTAAAGCAAATATATGTACACAGAAATTTCTAAATAGCGGTAATTATAGCATCCCATAATTTAAAATGATTGGATTGAGTAAAATTAGCATGGGAATATGTACCTCTGGGAACAAAAGAAGCTTCCCTTCTTTAATTCTACATAGTAGATGAAGTCTCACTGTATTTCATTGTGTTTTATGCAGCTTGGTATGATATCAGAGAACTGGATGTCATAGATTATATATGACAATTCATTTCTTATCATTTTTCTAAAGCTAAAAGGAATTGTACACATCCCAAAAAAGTATACCTTGTGTGTTTGAAAAAAGAAAAAAACACAAGAAGTGAGCTATAATGGGGGAAGGATGGACCTGAGAGGAAGGCACAGGGATGGAACTCAGATCTCCTGAGTCGAACTCCCAGCTCTGCTACAAAATTCCTGTGCCACCTTGGGCAAGTCACTTCGGGCTTGTTTACATGAACAATTGGACAAAGTCAAGTTGGTGTGAATCTGCTCCACACTAGCTTGCTATGGTCTAACTGTCCATGTACACCATGCTGATGTATATTAACAATTTGTTCAAATGCCATGATGTAGTCCTCTCTCAAAGGGGACTAGATGAAAGCACATTAACAAAATGTTAACATGCATCAGCAGGTTGCACACGGATAGTTGGCATGGAATAGATTCATGCCCCAGCTTGCTGCAGTCTAATTGTTCATGTAGGTGTCAAAGTCAGATTCAGGACTCACATAATTTGTCAGACCACTCTGTTTATTAGAAAAGCGCTTTGCTAATGCACCCAGATGTGAGCCCCTCTCTGAGGTTCAAGATAACTTATTTATACAGTTAAGCCAAAGCCAATTTAACATAAGAGACAAAAGAAAGAGAAACTGACAAATATGCATACATATCTTATTTGCATACTAACGTTTACCAGTCTCCTAGCTCAGTAGGAGCTCTAAGTTAATTAGTTTGAGGACTCCTTGTCTCATACTCCTTAATGTTTCTCTTCCTGACAACTATATTTCAACAAACCTTTCAAGTAGCATTTCTTTAATGAATTATAATTTCAATATAATTCATTCTACTTTCACATAGGGAAGCCTTCAATCTCTCTCCATCTCAGTTCCTTATCTGTAAAAAGGAAGTGTTATCCCCTTCCTCCCCTTTTGTTTCTCTTGTGTGTTTAGATCGTAAGCTCTCTGGGGCAGGAGATTTCTCTTACTAAGTGTTCATGCAGGACACTGCACAGTGCTTCCCCACCACCTCACTTGGGGCCTGTAAGTGCATCGCCATAATTTCCCCTCTGGGTTTGGTGCCATGCCTTAGTTTCTCTTTTTTTCTCAGCCCAGCTCCAGGAAGCTGGAAACACAGTGTTGCATTTCGCAACAAAGTTTCCCCTCCACTGTTATGAAACAGAAGTATACTCAACTCCTTGTGCTTGGCTCCAGATTCCTCAAGTCCCTTTCGTCCTGCTAAAGGCTCAATAGCTCTTTCTAGCCCTTCTCCAGGGGATCACGGTCACCCTTGTATCAGGTTTTCCCCTATCTTGTTACCGACCTCCTGCATTCCTGCCCCAGCTCACTACAGGCCATTTAGCTCTCTCCAAGCTCACCCCAGACCCTTAGCCAGGGCTCTTTCCCAAGACGGCTGTCCTCCTGCCAGTCTCCATGGAAACCAAAATGCCAAGGTCATTCCAGACTCTATCTTGTCTTAGGGTAGCCTAGAGCGTGGCTTTATACAGTCCCCACAGGCAGTCACATGTTCTACAGTCACATGCTCCCTCCTGGGTGTCTGCACTGATTGCACCCATCTGTGGCCCTTCCTAGGCCAAAAGGATGAACTTGGGTCTACCTTCCCGTCACAGGGCCTCACTACAAATAATAGTATAAAGGCAAACTCACAGGGCTGAATATGGCCTAGTTATCCATAAAAAGAGCTGCCTTACCAAAAGTTTAATCATTTAAAATAGTCAAGCTAAGCAAAACATAATTTTGAATGGAGATTTATTTCTGTTGATCTGGGCCTATTTTTCATTTCTCCCAGTGTCCTTCACAGAGGTCCACCAGTGGAATAAATTCCAGCAGCAGAGCGGTACTGGAGTCATGTTCTCAGAGAGCCAGTTAGAGCAGCAAGGAAGCCATTTGCTGGCATGATGACCTGGCCTGCAATGAAGCGCCAGAGATCTACAATGTTGAGGTCAGGCTGCTGAGCTGCTCCCAAACAGAGAAAACCATGATTTATGATGGCATAATCTGGAGTCTAGTCT